GGACGGACACGATGTGGTACCGAGGGGACGGACGCGGTGTGGTGCCGGAGGCAGGGATGCGGTGCCGGAGAGATGGATGCGGTGCAGCAACGGAGGGATGGATGCGGGTGCGGCAAGCGGAGAGATGGATGCGGTGCAGCAGCGGAGGGGTGGACGCGGTGCCGAAGGATGTTCGGTGCGGTGCGGAGGGACGGACTCGTGCGGCAGATCCCGACTCAGCCGAGTGGCTCCGCCGCCGCCAGGCAACTTTGGCTGCGCTGCGGGACCGCCCCCGCCGCCACCCGATTGGCCACGGGCCGTGATTGGCACCCAGGGCCACCACTGCGGATGGCGGAGGGGGGCGGGGCTGGGTCCCGGTGTCCGGGCTGCCGCAGGGGGATCCCAGTTGGATCCCAGTCGGATCCCAGTTGGATCCCAGTTGGACCCGGCGGTGCCTCCGGTTGACTCCAGTAAAGCCCACCGTGGTCCCACCCGTGGGCTGTGTGACCATCCCCGAGTGCCCCAGTTGGTCCCAGTTTGACCACAGGTTATCCCAGTGTTGGCCCCAGGATAGCCCTGGTTGTCCCAGTGCTGGGCCAGTTGGTCCCAGAGTGGCCAAGGGTGGTCCCAGTGTGGTCACTGTTGGCCCCAGTGTAGCCCTGGGTGCCCCAGTTGGCCCTGGGGACATTCTAGTTTGGCCATGAGTGGTCCTGGTGTGGTCACTGTTGGCTCCAGGATTAAGCCATGGACACCCCAATATAGCCCCAGTTGGTCCCATTTTGGCCATGGGAGATCCCAGTGTGGTTGCTGGTGGCCTCAGGGCAGCCCTGGCTTGCCCAGTTGGTCCCATTTTGGCCAAAAGTGGTCTCAGTGTGGTTGCTTTTGACCCCAGGGTAGCCCTGGTTGCCCCAGTTGGCCCTGGAGCTGCCCTGGTTTGACCATGGGTGGTCACAGTGTGGCCATGGTTGGCCCTAACATATCTCTTGTTTGTCCCAGTTTGGCCACTGGTGGTCCCAGTTTGGCCACATGTTGTCCCAGTGTGGACACTTGGTCCTGGGAAAGCCCTGTTTTCCCCAGCTGGCCCTGACTTGGCCTCAGTTTGACCACGGGTGGTCCCACTGTGGTTGTAGTGGCCCTGGGGTGGTCCCTTGACAAGCAGGGTGGCTCCAAATGCCTTCCTTCAATGCCCACGGTGCCAGGCAGCCTTTGCTCCCTGCTGCTTCCCTCCAGTGTGGCATATACTGATTGTGGAGGAGGAGGAGGAAGCAGGAGCTGCCTCCGTCCCTGCCTGACACCCGGAGGCCTGTGCATGCAGAGAGGAATAAGACAGACATCCATATCCATATCCCAGACTGTCCTCAGGGGTTTTCCCAAATAAGAAACAGATAATTAGATAAATAAACCAGATAAAGCCATGGCTGGGCAGAGCTTCACACGCTCCCGGGGTACACAATGTGCAGGGACTTCTTGGGGCTGCTCCCTCTCCCTCTTGGAGCATTCCAGGATTTTACTTACAGAGAGAGGGACATGAACCGGTTTTGTTCAGATGGAAAATCCCAGGCAAGCTTTGCCTCCATGAGCACCACCTCTGCTTCCACATGGAGCTCTCAGCAACATCCTGTTTGCTGAGCTCAGCTCTGCTTAACCCAGATCTCAAATCCAAGATGCTTCCCCATCCCAACACGGCTGAGCTGCGGCACATGGAGTTTGCTCATCTCCTCCTCCCTCAGGGATAAGAGGCTCCAAGCTGAGCCTGGAGCAGCTGCAGGATGCATCGCAGCTATTTTTACCATCTCCCAGCTGTTCCAGGTGTGTGCAAGGGAAAAGAGGTGGAAAAAGCACACCTGGGTCCTGATGGGGGGGTATCCAAGGGCTCTGGAGGGCACGTGCACTCACCCACACAGCACAGGGCTCTCCCCACCCCAGGGAGGCAGAAAGAGGTCCAAGGACTGGAGCTCTTGAGTGTGGTCATCAAATCCAACCAAAAAAGCAAAAGGAAAAAAACACAGGCAGGAGACACAGCAGGAACAGGGATCACCTCACCAGGGAGTGTGGGAAGGTTTGTGTGATGGTGGGGCTCTGTCACGGATCAAAGCAAAGCCTGAGAGGGCCTTCCCACACTCCTGTTTGCTAAAATCCATTCTCTGTCCCCATCGGGATGCCTCAGGGTCAGCATGAGTTCCTGTGTGGGAAGGAGTAGCTGGGTAATGAGGGAAAGCAAAGTCCAGGGCAAAATTGCCAGTGGCAGGAGGGAGCTGATGCTCCCAGCTCCTTCCACAGGTGCTTCCAGAGCACCCCGAAAGCCACAGCTGGGAATGGGGACATGGCTCCAGCTGAGGGGGACATCAGGGCTCTGCTCTTCTCTCCAGGACCACAACAGGCTGGAATTAAGGGAAGCACCCACTCACCAGAATTCCAGGAATAAACAATGCTGTGTTTGGCCTCCTCAAGTTCCTTCCTCATGGAAGAAACACGGGAGATGTTTGAGAGTGGAAATATGGAAGTTTGGGGCAGGATGCAGAGGTGGGGCAGGCAGCATCAGCACTGGCAGGGGCAAGACATCCCTGCCTAGAGAGACCCCAAAACCTGCCCGGACCCTCTGGGGGGGATTAGGTTAAAGGTACAAACCCCTTGTGGGGGGCATCTAATTCTGCCCCCCAGCCACTGCCAGACTGTCCCAGAGCTCATCCCACTGAGGGGCTCTCCTGACTCCCCCAAGTCCAAACCTCACGGCACAGGGGCAGGAGACTCCATGGCTGCCTGGGATCAGCACCACGGCCACATCCTGCACAGCATTTGCCAGTGCCAATGGAGCTGCCCAGGGCTGGATGGACATGATCCCTGTGGGGCAACACTGCCTGGGAATGGGAGCTAGGAGCAAACAGGAGCTGAGAGCCCATGGAGCAACCAGGATGTGTGCAGGATTCTCATCTCCTGGACCGTGTTGGCTTCGCCTGACAAAGAAAAGCATCTGTGGAGCAGATAAATAAAACCAGGCAGTGCCTGGGGCCGCTTCCCAAAGCTGCCATGTGCTCTTCCAAACCAGCTATCATCAGCTCCTTCTCCAGTGATCCGAAATAGCAGGAGGGAAGCCCTTCAGCTGCATCATGAATCATCCCTGGGAGGCAGAGTGGTTATTTTTGTGGTTCTGTGGCTCACGTGGAGCTGCCAGTGCATCCCTCAGAGATGGGCTGCGGCAGCGGGACACACTCCTGTCCCTGCTGGGGGCTGCTTCCATGGGGACCAGGAATCCCGAGGGCCCAGCATCCCAGGAGGTTTGCTATGAAGGGAATGTGATGGTGAACGTCATCACAGGTTTGCCTTTGCTCAGGGGAAAAGGGAAAAGCTGTGCTGCTGGTGGGGGGGTTGGATGGGCACAGGAACAGCCCCGTGGAGCTCAGGATGTTGGTGTGAGTCCTCTCTCCTCTCCCTGAGCCTGATGGTTCCCATGAAAGCCACTCCCTGTGCCAGGGTCTCTCCTCTTTGGGCAGCATTTCAGACCACCATCACCCTCCACCACAGTGGAACTAAACAAGAGAAGGAGGGGTGGATGAGGAGGAGTTGGCATATGCCTGAGCTGGGCACCCTGCAGGAAACCCTGCAGCACCTGTCACCCCAAGGTGACAAACATTGACTCTGTAATGAAGGAAACAGCAGGCAGGGACCAGAGCCCATGCCCACCCACCTGCCACCCCATCCTCCTGCCCTGGCTCTGAGGGGTAGGAGCCCCACGGATCAGAACAATGGGAATGTTCTTCCAGTTTGCCTGGAAAAGCCCCATTTGATGTGGTGACAATGTGACAACAAACACGAGCTCCTCCCTCTCAGACAGAGGGGTCACTCAAGACAAGCTGTGTGTGCCACTGCCCTCCTGGGCACTAGTTTGGGGGTGCCAGGGCCTGGCTGGCCCTGCTGCCCAGCTCTAGAGAGCTGGGAAAGGGGAGGGTGCAGGAAGCTGAGCCATAGGGTTTGGCACCTACACCTGCACACCACGATCCACACGTGTCCAGCTGAAAAAACAACCCAGTGGCAGCACAGTGAGCCAGGGACTGTGCCCAGATGTGGAAACAGAGGCACAAGGATGCAGACAAGAGGCCAGGCTGTGCCACCCAGCACCCAGCAGCAGCCTGGTCAGAGCCTGTGTTCTCGCTACCTGCTGGCACAGGAGCAGGGTGAGCTTACACAACATGGTCAGGCTGAAATATTTATCAGGCTGTTTAAAGGCAAACCAGGCAGGAGGCTGGGCAGGAGGGGAACAAGCACACAAACATGGGGTGGTGGCCATGGCCCCCCTGAGCCCGCTCCAGGCTGGCAGGGGGTCCTTGGGAACTCCAAACCTCCCTCCCTGAGTGCCCCCAATGTCCCTCAGTCACAGTGTGGTGCAGAGAGGATTGGGGCATGCAGGGTCAGGGCTGCCAGTGAGCTGGACACAGGGAGCTTGAACTTTGGGCCAGGAATTGGTGCCAGCACGTGCCTTTAGGCAGCACCAAGAGGTGCTGGGGCAAACAGGGGAAGCTGGGAAGTCACAGGGAGCCTGCTGGCATGGTGGATGCATGGACTGGTTTCACACTGGCCCCATGCTCTGGCCACACTCTTCCCAGTGCAGGTGCTACAGCCAGGGACCCTCTCCATGCAAATGCTGCCCCAAAACCAGGGGGAAGGCAGGGAGGGGGCCAGGCAGGAGAACAGCCAAGTGGGGACAGGGACTGCCAAAAAGAAAAGCAATCCTCATGCAGACCCATCACCACATCCCCCTGCAGCACAACCTCTTTGGAGAAGCAGTGGGGGCAGGATCAGCCCCAGCTCCCACCCCACACATGGGAGTGTGTGGAGTTGAAGGGGGGAAAAAAACCCCCAAGGACCAAAGCACCTCCTGCAGCCCCAGACATGGATGGACCTGGTCATGCATTTCAAGTTTGAAACGGCAAAACCCCCCAAAAAATCACGCCAAACCACTTTGTTTCTCAACCAGGGGCCCCATCACTCCTAAAACCCCCAGGCACCTCAGCACAGCCGAAGAGCAGAGTCAGTAGAAACCTTTATTAAACACGAAGCTTAGAGGAACACAAGCTTATTAAATGGCAGTAAAAGTGAAAGTGCGTCTCCAGCCTGGCCCGGGGGGACCCCAGGACCCCCCTCTCCTCCCCTCCCCTCCCAGTGGCCTGGGGATGGGGAGACAGAGCTGAAAGGCTGAAAGGCTGCACAGGGAGGGGAAGAAAAGCCTGGAGACAGCGTTGGGTCCTTACCTGCAGAGATGCACTCCCTGGGACACCTCTGTGTCCCCTAAGGGGACAAGCCCATGGTCCCGGGGCCACCAGCCCCATCCAGCCCCGTCCCCCCTCCTGCAGCCACTGCCACAGCCGTGGCCTTGCCAGTCTCATTTTGGACATGAGCAAAGCCAGGATGTGCTGGCAAGGCCCCGGTGACCTCCTGCTCATTCCTGCCCCCTCCATGTCCTGGGAGAGCTCCCACACGCCATAAATAATAAATAAATACCCCATGCTCAGCCAGGCTATGGGCAGCTCCCCACACAGGGGGGACAGCCCTGACCCAGCACCCCCCACATCTCCACCACCCCCTTCCAGCAAAACAAACCCTCTCAGCACCCTCACTCTGCTGTACAGCCCCCCCCAAACCCCCATGGAAATGAAACGCTGTCCCCAGGGGACAATAATAAATTAATCAAATCTATACACAGGACTGCTTAAAGCTCTGGAATGGGCTCCTGGGGGGCTGCCCTGGGCAGTTCCCCCGTGACCAGGGCCCTGTGGGAGGGGTCCCCCGAGATGGGAACCCCATCCTGGCATCCCCCCTTGTGGGGCTGGAGCTGAGGATGCCACTGGCCCCCCGCCTGGCTGGGGGGTCTGGAGGGAGAAGAAAATATTGCAAAAAGGGGATGGGAGAGGAGCGGCGGGCGCTGCAGCCAGAGGGGCCGCCTGCCCTGCCCGCCCTGCCAGGGCTGCCCCCCTCGCCTGGCAGCTCCCCCGAGCACCTGGGCAGAGCTTCAGAAGTCCAAGGGGGTGAAGTCCCCAAAGTTGCAGTCGAAGAGCTCGCTGATGCCCTCGCCCTCCTCCAGCCCGAAGTGATAGTCCTGCGCCTGCGGCGGCGACAGGTTGATGAACTCATCGGCCAAGAAACCCGCCAAGTCCTCCCTGCTCTGCTCCAGGAGAATGTCCATGGAGGCCAGAGGTGACAGGCTCACCTCCTCCACCTTGCTGGGCAGTGTGCTTGTCCCTGGCAGCAGCGCTTCTGTGGGGATGGGAAACAGCTGTAAATCCCACAGAAGTTGCCAAATAAACCCCCCCAAAAAACCATTTTATAGGCTATGGAGAACCCAGTTGTTCCCACCTCCCTGCCTTGCTGGGGTGCCCAAGCACCATCCCAGCTACTTGCTTGTGCTGACAGCTACAAACACAGCCAGAGCCACCACATCACATGTGACATCACATGTGACATCACATCAACATCCCTGTCCCCAGCCCCACCTTGCTCTCCAGGAAGCAGTGGCATGTTCACATCCTGGGTGGGATGGAGGAGTGGGGAGGCTCTGGACTGTGAACACCTGGGAGATGAGTCCTCTGTGGAGGCTTTGAAGGGGCTCTTGACAGGGCTGCAGACCCCTGAGCTGTCCTCGGGGCAGAGGAAGACGTCGATGGGGCCCTGAGTGCTTCGCATGGAGACCTGGAAAGCCTGGGGAAGAGAGGAGAGAGGAGTGAGACAAGGAGGTGCAGGGATGCCCAGGGAGCACTGGGCTGTGCAGAGGGGTCAGAGGGTGACCCCAACTCACCTCTGCTGGGTCTGAGACCTGCAGCTGGGTCTCTGGGGGGGCTTTGATAACCATCACCATCTGCTCCGAGGGGTCCACGATGCTGCGGAGATCCTGGCAGGTCACATAGGCTGCGGTGGGGCGGGTCAAGGAGCAAACCCAGGGATCATTCCCTGCAGGGACCGCAGCCAGCCAGGCCCACCCCGGGGGCTCACCCACATCCCCCCACCCAGCCAGTCCCATCCCATAACAAAGGATATTGCTGGTTGGCGGGGTCCTCGGTGAGCAGGCGCAGCTGCACCGTGCACATCTGGATGAGCTCGTCCAGCTGCCTCTCGGCCGCCTGCAGCTCCCGCAGCTCCTTCTCCAGCAGCCGGTGCCGGCCGGGCGCTCCCACGGTGGCCTGGCTGCCCCTGGGGAGCACCGTGTCCGTCAGGAGCCAGACCCCACAGCTCCCTCTGGCCCCACCCAGGCCAGGCTACATCCCACCCCACACCCAGGGAATCAGCCTTGTCTGGATTTCCCGGTAGGGCACAGCCCTGGGGTCCATTCCCCGAGCCTGGATGCAGCCCCCCCGCTCCCTGGGATGACTTGGGGAGCCCGAGGGGGACTCGCAGTGTTGGTATTCCTGTTTTGCCTGCTCAGGAGCCACCTGCCACTGAGCACAGCCCTTCCACAGGGAGCCACCACTTGACCCGTGAGCAGATGCTCTGGTGACCCTGCTTTGAACTTCTCCACCCTGCTAAGACCCTGCTCTACCCTGAGCCTGGCCCAGACGGCCCTCCCAGCCCAGACACAGCCCCATGAGCCCAGCCAAGGGACATACAGCCACTGGATGTGGTTCTTAGATTTCTTGGTGATGAGCTGAATGCCCTCCAGGACATTGGTGATGTCGTAGATGCGCCTCTTCTGCACCTTCAGGACCTCGGCTGCCCAGTTGAGATCCACCACGCCATCAGGTGACTGGCTCAGGAGCTCCAGGAAGCGCTTGGTGGTGAGGTTCAGGGAGGTTTCATAGCGGGACTTCTCTCCAGGAGACTTTGCCCCTGCCAGCCACCGAGGACAAGTGTGATTTTAGCCACAAGGCTAGAGCTGAGAGGTCCCAAAACTCCCCCCATGCTTGCAGGTGGCTCATGCACCAGGGACCAGGACCGGCACCCCAAAACAAATGTGCTTTCTCAGGGCAATGGGGTGAGCTCCCCAAACCCTCCGCGGGAAGGATGCTGCAGGACCTGGCACAGGCTCTGACACCTGTGCTCCATCCTGACCACAAACTCAGCTGTGCCAGGCAGGGCTCAGGGGGGAGATAACAGAAGGTCCCCCGGGGACACTGCACCCACCCCATGCTGGCAGCTACAGCTCCACCCCACAGGGAGGGATGGAGCAGGTGTGGTGCCCAGCAGCTGGGTAGGACAACTATGTCACCAGCCCAGGGGACAGCAGCAGCTGTGGACAGTGGACAGAAAGAGGTCAGCCCCAGGAACAAACTGACATGAAGGAAAAGGAAGAAGCTGCCTGTGGGAGCTGAGTGGGGCAGCAGCACCCCTGCTCTGGGCTGGGCTGTCAAGGGGGGGCAGGAGGAGCAGTACCTTTAGCAGGGTTCCTGGCCTTGCCCCGGACCACCGGCAGGCTCTCTGCTATGTACTGGTGATCTGTCTCCAAGTTCAGCTTCCTCTTCACCTGCAAGGGATGGGGCCATCAGAGGGGCAGCGACCATCCCACTGGTCATGGAATGTGACCCGAGGGATCGCCCCAGGGTCACGGAGGCCCGGCAGGAAGGGACTGACAAGAGCAGCTCCGCGGCTGCCACGCACGCCAGCGGGGGAATGGGGGGCGTACCCCGTCGCGGGGGCCCCGCCAGGCTTGAGGAGCGCCCCAATAACGGCCGGCCGCAGGCCGCGGCGGGGGGAGGCAAAGCACGGCCCAATAGCGCCCGGGCCCTGCGGCTTCCGGAGCGGCAGCGGGGCAGGGGCCGGCGCGCGGCAGGTGCTGCGTGGCTACGGCCCCCTGCTTGTACGGAGGGCACGGCCGAAAACGGCCTGGCACGGAGCCAAGGGCGTGACATATGGCACAGCACGGGGCAGAGCAGGGAGCAGCACGGCCCGGCCCGGTTCGGTGTACAGCACGGCTCGCTATACAGCCCAGCTCGGTATCGCACGGCTCGCTATACAGCTCGGCCTGGTAAATAGCCCAGCTCGGTGTACAGCCGGCTTACAGCGGCACGGTCGGTAACCCAGCCGCTGCGAAGCGGCCAATACTTGCACGGCCCAGCAACACCGCCCGGTCCCCGCAGCCCCCGCCCGCCCACCGCCCCCCCGTCCCTCGCGGGGGTTACCGGCGGGCGGCCCAGCGGCGGCCGTCGGCGCGGCGCGGGGCGGGCGGGCCGCGGCGGGTGGCGAAGAGCAGGAGTGCGGTATCGGGTGGCCTGCCGCCGCGCCCGACGGGCTCCCTCGGCGGCGGCAGCGCGGAAGACGATGAGGAGGTGCGGGGAGGCGCTGCCCACAGCGCCGACCAGCCCCGCCGCCCGCCCGCCGCCGCCATGGCTCACATGGCAGCCGGTGGCCGCCGGGGCGGCGGCGGCGGCGGCGGGCAGGGCGCGGGCTGAGCGCGGGCCCCATGGCGGGCCCCGCGGGGCGCTCGCGCTCCGGCTCCAGCCCCGGCTGCAAATCCCAGCCGCGGCTCCGCCGTGCCCGCCGCTGTCTCGGCGCGCCGGCCGGCGCGCCTTTGCGCGCCAAATCACTTTTTGCCGCGAAAAAGCGCCGAGCCGCCCCGCGCCCGCCCATTTTGGCTGCGCCCCGGCGTGGCGGGGGCGGAGAGCGCGCCTCCATTGGCTGCGGCCCGGCGGGGCGGCGGCCGGATGGCCGCGCGCCCCCATGTGGCGGGCGGGGGGCCGCGCTGACAGCGGCCAAATCGGCGACGTCAGCGCCGGGGCGCGGACAATGGAGCGCGGCCCGGGGACGCGGGGGGGCGCCGCGTGGGTGCGGAGCGGGCGGGGCGGGGTGGGGTGGGGGTCCCCTCCCTTGTGTCCCCTTCTTGTGTCCCCTTCTTGTGTCCCATCCTTGTGCTCCCCGTGTCTCCTCTCGCGTCCCCTCTTGTGTGTCTCTCATATGCCCACCCTGTGCCCCTCGTGTGTGTCCCCCTTTTGTCCCCCCATGTGTTCCTGCCATGTGCCCACCCTGTGTCCCCCCGCGGATTCCCCGCTCCCAACCGGCCCTGGCCACTCCTGCTTTTCCCAGCCATGGGAAAGCCTCGGGCAGAGCCGGTCCCTCCCGGGCTGACGGGCTTCCGGCTGCGGGCACGGCCGTTCCCCGCTCCGGATGGCCCGGGAGGGCACCGGCACACACCCACAGCGAAGTTCGTACCGCTTGCCCCACCCTCGGGTAGCACTGGTGGCACACGGGGGGGGGTTGGGCTTTGCGGGCTATCCCTTTGTGTCCCCTTTCCCCAGGGGTGACCCCAGCCCGTGCAGAGATGAGCTCAGTGTTATTCCTCTCCCTCGTTAAAAGCACAACCCCGAGACTCCAGGCGAGGCTATCGGGAAGCCTGGAGGCTCTGACACTGTTCCAGGGGTCCGGCTCGCATGGAAAGCCTGGGATGCCGCAATCTGCTCTGTCCGTTTGCCGGGTGATTCACGGCATTCTGTGTTTCCAAACACCCACCAGCTGTGGATCTCGGCGGCTCCTGCAGCGCTCCTTGATAACCCCTTGCAGGGCAGCACGGAGGGAAAGCTCTGCTGGGAGCACAGCCCGCACTTGGCCGTGCCCGGAGCGATCCCTGGCCGTGGGACAGCGCGATCGGGGAGGGGCAGGGACAGAGGGGTGGCAGACGGGGCCGGGAGTGGCCCCATATGCTGGGAGGGATGATAGTCCGGCCCCAGACAGGCACAGGCGGCTCCCACCGCCGGTATCTGCTGCCTGCAGGACACCGATAACCCCCCTCTGCATGAGAAGGCAGAATTAAAAATGAAAAAAAAATACATCCTGCTATTAAAATAACCTAAAAAGCACTTAAAGATTAGACCTTTTGCAGGGCCCAGAGATGTTGAAGCTCGTGAGGGAAGTGTGGAGTGAGGGGGTCTCAGCCAGGCACCCAAAGCCCCTCTGAGCCGAGCCCAGGGTTTAACCCCTCTGTGCCCCCCAAAAGCTGCCCCACAGGTCCCCAGGGGGCCTCCTGGTGGAGCACAGTGACCCCCAACCCCTTGGTGCTGCCAGGCAGGGCTGTGGGCCAGTGCTGGCTCCCACCCCGGCCCTGCTGCCGCCCCTGACCTGCCCTGGATGAGGAGATGGGGTGTTTTTTCCAGCAGTGCGTGGGATGCAGGAGGCATTCCCAGGGCTGAATTAACTCCTGTGCTGCAGAGCAAATCCTGACATGCAGTGCCCCTGCTCCGGCCTAACAGGTTTCTGGCTTCAAAGGATTTTCTGCTGGATACTTTGGCAGTGGCTGTAATTCCCCCGAGGACTGTCAGTGCCGTGATTTCCCCGGATCCCCACATCCTTAAATACACCAGGAACATATTGCATGGCCGTGACCAATCACATCAGCTCGCTGTGCCTCATTTCTTCATCAGCAGAGAGCAAATGGAAACGCTGCCTTGCTTACAGGAAATTAATACAGTTAATTAACACTTGGCCCCTCTAATATTCCAGGGCCCGCTCTCCAGAGCCCTTCCACTGCAGTATCATCATTACCGTGATGCACAAGCAACAGTTAGACCAGATGTTTGCACACAGTTAATGCTTCTTCCATCTGGGGAGGGGGAGAAAAGGCAGCCCCAGCAGCCTGGCGGGAGCGCATGGCTGGCAGTGCCTTCCCCATCCCCGGGGAGCCCCAGCCAGGCGCTTCCTGGGCTGCAGCGGGGTTTGGGACACAGCTGCTGCACCAGCTGCTCCCGCTCCGCTCACAAAGGCTGGGTCCTCCCCTAATTCATGCGGGAGCTTATCCGGGGGGGCAGCAGCTCTGCCCCCTCTCCCCGGAGCTGCTTGGCTGCGCTGCAACTTCTCCAGGGCTTTCAGTGGCGCGAAAAAGGGCGGCTGTGGAGACAAATGAAAGGCGAACGCTGGCGGGAGAGGGACGGGCAGGGGCTTTCCTTGCATGTATATGAGGGGAAGCAGATGAATCCCGTCTCCTGCACAGCTGCAGCCTCCCCCCGGCCTCGCCAGCCCCGCTAAGGAGTGCAGACGTGCTCCCGAGATTAGCTGTCTGCCGGGTGCTGCACGCAGATAAAGCCCTGTCTCCACGGTCACACTTGGTCCTGGAGAGGATCAGGAAGGATGTTTGGACAGTTTGTACCACAACAGGATTTACCCCACCACAGTCCCTGAGTTTGGGTGGGTTTGGCTGCCCTGCACGCTGGGGTGGACGCAGGTCAAGGGGTGTCTGCTGGTCTCTGCATGGATAGAAAAATGTGGAGCAGGGCTGCAGGTGGAGCCAGAGCTGGTGCCATGGAAAATCATGTCCTGGCAGCAGGAGCAGGCAGGATGCAAACCTACATCCCTGTGCTCAGTTAAGTGTAGCATGTGGGTGTCCCAGGAACACATTTACTGTCCTTGTCATCGCAGTTGGTTGGTCCTGTCTTCAGCAGTTCCCACATGGAGTGTGCTGAGCTGTCACATGGAATGATTGCAGCAGGGCTTCTCCCAGGCTCTCCTGCCAATGCTCCTGTTCCCAGTGCTTTGATTTGTTCCCATGAGGGTGCAGCTCTCAGCACAAGAGGCCCTGGAGACCTCACTGCAGAGGGGACAGACAGCTGGGGAAAGCCCAGAGCCCCCCAGTTCTGTCCTGACCTCACCCGCTCACCTGTTCTTGCTCCATGCTCCACCACCTGAGCCATTGCCTTTGTCCTACAGGAACCAAAGCGATTTTCTGGTAGCACAAATTACCTAGAGTATCTAAGCTTGCTTGTGGCAGAAGGACAGCATCCCTGGCTAAGGTGTCTCCTCCTAGAGCCCAGTCCCAAGAGCCAGGAACTGCCTATTCCCTTGCATTGTTTACAGATGACTACACCAGCTACTCTCTTGGATGCTGGGCACAACAGACTCAGCAGTGTTAGTTCCTCCTCTCATAGGATGGCATCTGTTATCAGAGCTCACACCAATCCATGGAGTCTTTCAGTGGAAGCAACAGGGGCACAGAGCTCATTCACCCCCCACTCTGCTCTTCACACCCAAACAGGACAATTTTGTCCCAGCCTGTGTGAGGCAGAGCAGTACAAACACACACTTCCCAGCCCCATGGCTAAAAGCCACTCCATTCCACAGAGCTCTTCCATTTCCTTCACTCAAGCCTTGTGGAGGAATGGAGAGGCTGAAGTGCTTCTTGGGAGTCATCAAGGAGTAATTTGGGAACATACCCCTTGATGTTGCCTTCTGTGCTTCAGCTTCTACTCAGCTCTAGTGACAAAGCAGCCCAAGTTCCCTTCCCAGAAGGCTCAGAGCACGGTCACTGGAACTGGGAACCCAAAAAGCAGGTGAAGAGTCAGAGCAAAACCTGTAGGTGACTCAGAGCTTCACCGGGAGCAGAAGAGGAGCTCAGACAGAGTGTGATGCTTTGTGAGGAGCTAAAAAATCACTTCAAGGCAGGACTGGCATCAATTTGAGGGTGTTAATTTGGCTTCTCACAGGCACAAAGCAGCTACAAAGCAGGAGCTTTTGTCTTACAGACACTCAGTGCTCCCCTGGCAAGAGGGACCTCCTTCCCCTGCCTGTGCCATCCATAGGGAGCTCCTCACACAGGGATTGCTTCATCCCCACTCCCATAGCAGTTACCTTTACAGCTTGGAAGAAGCAGTGAGATCACCCACACACATCCTTATTTTCCATATTTGTGTAGGTCCCTATTTTATCTGAGGGGCAGACCAGGTACAACCTCGTGCCCAGTGCCCTGTACCTGTGCCCTGCTCTGGCAGAGGGTCCTGCCACAGGCTCCTGCCCCAAAGAGGAGTGTTTGGTAAGGGATGACAGCCACCCCAATTTGTTCCTGCAGTTGGCATCCTTATCCCAGCCAGCGTTGCAGGAGGTAAATCTGAATGTGTGGTCAATGCTGGTAACACAGGAGCAAAAGTGATGCCAAAAATGCACCTCATGCATTGCTCTTCTACATACAGGACCAGAGACACGCAATAATCAAGCATCACTTCATATATTTTAGCTTAATAATGATGACAGTAAAAACACCCACCAAAAATTAGGGTTTTTTATTCTTATAGAAAGCATGGTATTGTAATATTCAAAGAGTGATTATACAGATAAAATCCACATAAGAAATCAATTCAGAGTAGACAGAGCTACATCAACAACACACTGCCCCCTCTTTTGCATGTTTTAAAACCAAAAACTGAGATATTCCTACAAGCATTTTGATCAGTGTCATACAAGTTACCTGAGTTTATAACTTTATTCTACACCATCAGAAAATCAGGGCTTGGATTACACAGCAATTGTGAGCACAAATTATATGCCAAAAAGAGAGGTAATAATACTTGTATTAGAGAGCTTTTAATTTGCTTTTCTCCTTTCCTCATCACCAGGGACAGATGAAAATTCTTCTAAGCAAAGAAAAAAGTTACCTCTTCCAACAATCTGGAACGAACACACAGGTTGACAATTCAAGATTAGCACCCCTGAAACATTAACAGTGGCAGACAGACATTATGCCTTATTTTCCCTCCCCCTCCTTATCTGCTGGATTTCAAAAGCAGCATCAGAAAACACATTCTGCTCAGGTTGGCACGAGCCAGGAACACAAACACAACCTGAGCAATAGGAAGCAGCACAGGGCTCAGGGTATTATCCAAAGGTCACATTTGTGCTGATGCAGTGAAAATCAGTTGGAATCCCAGGAGTTTCTCCTGTGTGAGGGTATCTCCACAGGGTTCTGGTCACTCCACAAGCTCAGTGTGCACAGGGGGTCATGGGGGTCCCCATGGATGCCTGGCTTGGCTCTCTTTCACAAGCCAGGGATCATCCCTGCATTTCCACCCACACCCAACCTGGTCTAAAGCAGAGCTTTGATCTATTCTACCAGGGCAAGGAAGTCTCACAGCACTGACATCAAAGCTCTTCTGCAGCCTCTCCACCCTGACCAGGTTGCCCAGAGAAGCTGTGGCTGCCCCATCCCTGGAAGTGTCCAAAGGCCAGGTTGGACAGGGCTTGGAGCAACCTGGGCTAGTGGAAGGTGTCCCTGCCCAGGGCAGGGAGTTGGAGTAGATATTTAATGTCCCTTCCAACTCAAACCATTCCATGATTCTATGACACCTGTCCTGAACATGGACATTTATCTGGTTATTGTTGTCATGCTACAAACACAGGCTCACACCTTTTCAAGGGATTCTCTGTGGCACTTATTGGACAAGCACAGGCTTTCCTTTCAGAAATGCACTCCCCTTAGCTGACAGGATCAAACACAGCACAGAAAACCTTAGCTAACCCAAATGTCAGGCACCCATTTAATTTTCACCTTTGTTAAATAATGTAATTGTCCCGGAAATGGTTCTCCAGCCATCCTGAGAGCCAGCACCAGTACACAACGTGTCCTCCAAAGGGAAGGGAAGCACAGTGGGTATGCCAGGGCAGCAGGCAGCATCAGTAAACAACCCCGAGCCTGCTTTGTTCCTCCATAAAATAAATGATTAATAGCTCAGGATAGTCAGCCTGCTTGAGAAGCTCAGGCTTGCTGAAAACTTTTGATCAGTTTGATTCATTAACCTTTAAAACTGCCTCTAAAAGAGGCTTAAAATCTGAAGAAGTATCATTTTAAACATTACTTTTATCCAGTAATCCTAATTTTTTATGAACTGAGCTAAGATTGAGACACTCTGCTCCTCTTTAGAGACACTCAGCATAAGCCAGGTGTCAAAGAAGAAATAACAGGAGAAAATAAACTGGTGTAGACAAACAAACCCATGTTCATCTTAAAATTCAAAACCAGTCAGGGCTGGGGGTGGGGGGGAGAAAATGGCATTTCTTTGTGATCCTTAAGCACTTGGCTGATTCGCAGGTGGCTTCCCAACTGTCTCTTTATTTCTCCTAGTTTTAATGCTAATAAAAAAAGGAACCCAAACAGGGGGCTCAACTCCCCACACAATGCCCTGGGGGAGGGCAGGGAGTGTAACTTACGTATCCCAAAAGTCTGACTCAGACAAATTACTTCTAGTTCACTTCCCTACTACACGCCCGCATTGTTCCGACACCTTGGCGGCAGAAGGGGCTCATCCCCAGCTATCTGGTCCCAGGGACAGCACTGGGGGCTGATGTCATTAAGGAGCTGTTCCAATTGCTTCCCTGGGGAAAGCAGTGACTTGCAGCTTAACGTCCTGCCCCCGGCCCAGCGGGAACACCAACGGTCCCAGCGCCCGGCTGGGCAGGCAGGGACAGGGATGGCAGCTGCTTCCTGGGGCTCCAGTGCAGATGGCTGGAGGCTGGGGCACAGTGTGCTCGCAAAGTGAGACTGGGGGGACGTTCCCAGGAGAAAAAGGGTGTTTCTTTGAGCCAGTGACACAGTCGCTGCTGCCAGGTTGATCCTGTAAACTGGGTATTGGCTCGGATTCACCTTCCAGAGAGCGCAGACTCTACGTCTGGGTACAAAGGACAGGCCACTTGTCCTTCAGAACTTCAGCAGCAGCCACTCGGTTGCAGTGCTACAACTACTAGCAAAAGGAAATCATTTCGCCCTCTAAGGGAATCACAAGCCTTTCTCAGAGGAAGAAAACACCAGCTACAAATGAAACGAGATTAAAAACTTCTCACGGAACCAGCCCCGTGCCATCTCTGGCTGCAACAATTACACACGGTCAAGGATTTGTGAGTCTAATAGTTTTAGAGAGAAATTCCCAAGCCACAGCTGTCAGGTTGTGGAAGGGTTTTCTGAAATCCCATCAAAGCTTGGAGGAATTCAGCAATATTAGCAGAATACAAATGTTCTCATTTGGAACAACACTGAGGCTTCTGACAGGAAAATCGTGATGCTTCAGCTACCCAGCAAATAAAGATGTTTATAAAGGAGTCAGACCTGATCTGTAGCTTCAGTAGTTTTTCTGTATCTGAATCTTTAAGCTTATCTATGCCAAGAAAAATATTTAACCACAAAGAAACAAACCCAATTCCTGACTTTTATAACTTTCCTGGGGTCTGATTAAATGCTGATTAATGTTCCAATTGAAGTATTTAGTCCAGACTGTAATAGCAGGTGAAACTAGGAGTTAAAGGTACCTCAGACAGTTATTATGGCAAAGAAGTATCTTGTTTTTTGGACACCATGTACAATCAGGGGTTTGCATGGCACAAGCTCAAAGAAAAGTGGGAAGACAAAAAATAAAGCAGCACTCTGAATATGCATAAGAGTAACAAAACAGTTTAGGAGGACAAGGAAAAATCACTTAAGAAGAAATTGGGAATTTTTTTCTACTCAGAAGCCACCTGAAGTTCAATGTACTGTTTCAGTTGTACCTTTGCATAGGACAAATTGCCAGAGCCTGGAAGGTAAAGAGAGTTCAAAACATGATGAAAACAGCATCAGCACGATTATGCAATGACATGAGCAGCTCAGGAACAAGCAAATGGACACAGGGAGAGCAAACAAAACAGTCCCAGCCAAGCCAAAAGGGAACAGGGAACTTAATGACTCCCTTGGAAACTTCACCACATCAAACCAGTGCGTCAGGAATTATCTGAATGCACATCATCGAGTGAACCGTGTAGTGTCATATGGCAGTGTATTAACAGCTTGAATTTATTAATTTAATTTTAAAGCAGTTTTTGTGCTTTCTCAGTTGTTTAGTCAATCTTCTGCTACAGCCCAGGGTGTGCTGCACCATCCTGGGGCTCAGCAGTTTTAAGAGTCACTCATACATTCATCCATGGCCTCAACCTGGCTCAGCAGCAAACCTGCACAAACTACAGGTACATTCCAATTTGATTACAGCCAACCCCTGCCACTCCTGTGGAGGGCAGATCCTGGCCCTAAGAGAAACCCATGTGTGCCTTCCCCCAAAATAAAAGTGCCTTTTCAAAGCTCAGTGTGAGATCTGAGGGCGGGAACACGCCCCGGCCTGTTTGCAGAGGAGCCCAAGTTGCATAACTGATTTTGGTATTTAGTTCAAGCAGCTTTTAAAAACTTTACAAGTAAGTTTAAAATAATTACAAGGTATTAATTAGTGCACTTTGCAGAGGCACAGATTCAGCCCAAGTGCATGGGAGAAACTGAGCAAAAATAGTCCTGCCAAGCATGATTTACCAGGCTTGTACAAGACAATCTTAACAGTTTTATTCTCAAATATTTTATTGTCTCCCAGAGGGAAAGGTCCAGATAAACTCTCTCAAGGAGCACACAACTTGTAATGTGTCCTTGTAACAGTTTAAGCAGGATTTCCAGCCATCCACAGCAATGAAAAAATAACATCCCTGCTTTCATGATGTCCCCCACTCCCACCACACCACGGTGAGCACAGCAGCACAGAGAAAAAACACTTGTGAGCATTCAGGTGAGCCCTAAAACATGTTTTCATACTCTCCACTTACTGTCAGGCTGTCTCTTTATAAGTTATATTTAGTTTCTTAAAAAACAATACCCAGAAAACCCCAAACCCAAACACAGAGGGGAAAAAAAGGCCTCTTAAAAAAGACTGCAGCAGGTTTCTGTGGGGTGTGCGTTTCTGCAGACAGTTTCTGTGGGGTGTTTACTTGCTCTAAACAGAGCCAAGAGACTAATCAGAACATTTTGGCCAGGATACAAGAGGCAACTCTGCTTGATAGATGTTAATTTAAAAAATCCCAGGTCAAGAGCAACAGAATAACCTTTTCCCCTCAGCTGCCCAGAGGTCCCATCCCATCCAAAGGTGCTTTGCAGGGAAGCACCTACTTGCTGTCTGTCCTTTTGTTGTAAAGGAGGAAGTCAGACAGGTCGTGCCACACCTCACTGTCCTCGTACAGGTAGGTCATGGAGGACTGCAGGGAGGGCTGCAGAGTCTCTCTGTGGTACTCAAAGAGCCACAGCACTGTCCCCCACACCAGGGCAGCCACGAGGGGGAAGGGATCCTGCTTGGGCTGTGGGATGTAGCCCTTCTCCACAGCCAGCCGGGACAGGCCGAACAGGATCCGGGACAGCAGGTACATGATGATCTGCAGGGGAGAAACCCAGAGAGCTTTGGGTGAGCAGCCTGAGCTCACACAGCAGCCAGGCTAAGCTGAGCTCACACAGCAGCCAGGCTAAGCTGAGCTCACACAGCAGCCAGGCTAAGCTGAGCTCACACAGCAGCCAGGCTGAGATTCAGAAGCCATAATCCACCCGAGAGGGGCGGGAGCGATTCACCCGACTTAAAAGCAAACAGGCTGTGGTTCACACACCAACAGTCTGTAAAACCACAAGTGTTTGTTGTCTTCTCTGCATCCTCGAAGTCCTGCTTCTCTGCTGCTGCTCTAATTCAGCAATTGACAAGTTAAACTTGATGCAACACATCTTGGCAGTTGCACAAACTTTTCTTTGCTCAGTTAATGCCACCTCAGAATAGACCCAGAGCAGCTCTGTTCACCTGCCAAGCAGATCTGAACTCAGGAGCCTGGACACAGCTAAAACCAGGCTCAAGAACACTCTGGACTAATCTGCATCTCTGTGTTTTAGTCATTAATCTGTGACTGTGTGTTAAGAACCAGCTTTAACTCCAGTGTCCCCTGAGCAGCTTTTGTCAGTGTAACCTGTTTAGTTGTCCCAGAATATTCTGAGTTGGAAGGGACCCACAAGGATCATCAAAGTCCAACTCCTTGTCAGTTTAACCAGTTTAGTTCAGTGAAGCTCAGTAACTGATCATGTTCCACACTCACAGCACTCAGATTCAAGGGTTTAACCCTGCAATGGGCAGACCAGGAGCAGAGTCAGTGACCACAGCTCAGGCAACAGCTGGGATAACCCAAAAGCTTTGGATCACCTGCCTGCCTCCCTAGGAATTCAGTGCAGCTCTGAAGGTAAATCTGAGCTTTTAGCACTCCAACTGCTCATGGAGGGACACAACCACCTCTGGGACTGGAGTGCAGAGCAGGCAAAACAAGAATCTGTGCAAAGAACATGATATAAGAGTAATTGCTGCACGGTCAGAACCGCCTGGAACAAGCCACCAACCACTTCCTGGCACACTTGCTGTTTTTCCTGGTCAAAGAAACTTCCAGCGAGTGCATTTACCTGGCTGTTGATGGGATTGTTCTCACCAAACACCAGCCAGCCCCCAATGCAGGCTGCAAGGAAAGCATGGAATGGGATTTTCTTCCCCTGCAGGCGGGACTGTGCTGCCATGAGCCCCTTGTAGGTGAAGACGAAGTAGGCCAAGTTCCGGGAGTGGGCGTAGGTGGCCTGAGCAATGGCCTTCAGCTTCTCCCTCAAACTGAAGAAAAGGAACAGACAATTAGGAGAGGGAAAAGGCACGACCCCTGCACTCAACTCAGCCTGGTCACTACACCCCTCACCTACACTGACAGCTTGGGCAGCCCGCGGAATATCTTGTGAGGGAGGAGAAATCCCCTCACCTCTGATCCCCAAATCAGAGCACAGAGTGCAGACTGTACCTCTGTCTCATTCTCTGAACAGTCAAACAGTCCTTTTTTTAAAATTTTTGCCTAAATGCAAACCTCTGGCATGAGCAGAGAAAGCCACAACGTGCTCTGCTCTACTCTAGGTTACCATATTTCCATGGGAGCAGAGCACTGCTGTTGGCATCTTCTAATTCCTCCCCTATCCACTGGTCCTCACCAACCACCCTATGAGCAGTTAACTCCCCCCAACTATGTATATTTGTGTGTGCTTCACTAATAGAGCAGGCTCAACCACGGCTCACGTACGTTTCTTCTTTTTAAAACCCCTGGAAACATGAAAAAGAGACAGCTGGAGTGAAAACATTCTAAGCAGTGACGGAAAAAAAGCAAGAATTAGGGCCTGTACCTTCCGCTCTTGAACAGGAAAGTCATCACCAGGGCATGAGGGGCACGGATTTTGGCTCCATAGCTGCAAGAGCAGACAGACACTTCAGAGTTTTTGCATTATACTACGAAATAATTGTGTTGCTATTCTGACAGATTAAAGACGTTATTTAACAAATATATATTACTTTCAAGCCGACCCAGCAGCAGCAGCACAACAAACCGGGAGGAGCCCAGCCCCAGGGGGAAGAGCACACACACCACAGCGAACCAGGCCCAAAGGAGACCCCAAAACCAGTTAAAACCACCCCGACGGCAGCTGAGAGAGGCGGAACAACCTCCCTCGTACCCCCCCCACCGCATCCCCGGCCTCCGCACAGCCCGGGCTGGGCCGATACCCCAGGCACCCCAGGGGCCCAGCACTCACACGGCGCCGTTGCGGAAGCCCTTGATGACAGCGAGCGCGGCATGGTAGCGGCGCTGCTGCAGGAGCTTGTTGGCGGCGCGGAGCAGAGCGCGTAGCGGACCATCCCCACCCGCCATGGCCCCGCGGCCATTTGGCACCCCGCCACCTTGCCGCTTCCGGGGCCGCGCCCCGGCCCGCCGCGCCCATTAGGCTGCTCCGCCTGTCCATCACCGCGGATGCGCCATCTCAACCGTCATTGGCGCGGGAGCGCCCGCCCGGTAGCCAATGAGCGCCGCGCATGTGTTCCCGCACCCTCTCCCTGTGGTGCGTGAGGGCCCGGCCCGGCATCCCCGGTCATGGCGCGGGGGTCGCGGCGGGGCCTGGCGGGGCGGGGGCAGCCCGCGACGCGGTGCCTGGCCCAGTTTCTCCGCGGGCTGTAGCGGCGGCACCGAGTTAAACGCTCCTTCCCTCCCAAAACCAGCGGCCGGGGCGCCTCCGCCCCTCCCGCGCTGAGGGCGCGTTGCGGGGCGGATGGGCGCCCCCTGGGGCGGCGCGGCCGCTCCCGCGCCGCTCCAAGGATGGCGCAGGCGATCTTCGAGGCGCTGGAGGGTAACGGGGCCGGCGCCGGGGCCGCGCCGGCACCCGCGGGCTGCGGACCCCCGGCGCCCCCCGAGCTCCCGCTGCCCGGCGCTGCCGCCGCGAGGGCGGGGGGACGCGGGCGGGGCGCCCCGCAGCCCCGGGCCCGGCCGCGGCGTGGGGGCGGCTCCCGGCAGCCCCGGCTGTGCCCCGCGCTCCCGCGGCAGGGGACGGCGCGCAGCCCCGCCCGCAGCCCCCGCCGCAGCCCGGGCATCCCCGTTTGCCCTGCTCCCTGCCGTGTCCCTGCCACCTCCGGACCCCCGGCCCGGTGCCACCTCCTGCCTGTGCGCCGAGACATGCCCGCACTGCCCATCCCTGTGCCCTGTGCTCCGGGTAGCCCTCGTTGGCCACGGACGCTGTGCACCTCAGCCCCTCCCTGCCCCAGGGCCCGATACCGCGAGGCACACCGTCCCATCCCATCGCTGTCCCTGTGCCCAGCGCTCCAGGGCACCCCATCCCATCCCTGTCCCTGTGCCCGATGCCCCAATGCACCCCTTGCCCTCCCTGCCCCTCTGCCCTGCACATCGGGGCACTCCCACCACCCTCCCCTCTGTGCCCAGGAAACAGGATCCCCAATCCCCAGGGCACCGTGTGACTCGTGTGCCTCTCCCCCTTCCGTTGCCCCCTGTCGCTGTGCCCAGCGTGCTGGGGTCCCCCATCCTCCCCTCAGCCCAGGGCTCACACTGCTGTGCCACGCTCCCTGCCAGCCCCAGGGATGGTGCCCAGGGAGTGATGGCCCCTGCATGTGTATTTTGGAGGTGTCTGTGCCCTCTGCACAGCCCAGACAACGCCCATTGTGTGGGTGAATGGGTTGTGCTCAAATTCATCTCAGTTTGGCACTGGGACACTGTCACAGGCAGGGGCCATCCCAGGGGGACTCCTGGACGTGTCAAGCTGTGCCAGTCTGAGCCTGTTTGGGGAAAAACTATTTCCCAGGCATTGATTTCTTAATCTGGATTACAGATGTATTTTCCCTTATGTGGGGGCACAGCTGACGTGGAAGGCCTGGCATCATGATTGTCACCCACGCTTTCAGACATCCCCTGTGATCGCAGCAGCAGAGAGAGGAGCAGAGAAGATATATTTCTCTGTTTTGTGAGGTTACTTGGTGCATTTGGCAGCACCCTGTGCAGAATCAGGTCCCTGTTTCCTCACTGCAATCAGCTCCTCGTGGTGTGAATTTCCTCACAGAATTCAGGAGAGCAAAACCTTTTAGCAAATTTTAGCAGCTTTTGGTGTCTGAGCTTGTTTGTTTTCTCTTGTTGATGTGATTACAAGTAGATGGTGACTTGGCATTTGTGTGGATGCTGAGAGCAGGCTGTGGGGCACAGGGGCATCTTCACCTGTCACCAAAGCACCTGGTGCTGGTGTCAGCAGAGAAGGGTCAATGCATGATGGAAAAGTAGCACCTGGGTGAAATGGACACTCTTGTTTCACCTCGAGCTGAGAGGAATTTGAAAGGGAAAAAAAAAAAAAGCACAAATCAGTAGTCCTGTACTTTTATCCTAGCTTCCCCAAATCACCCTGCTGTTGTCAGGCTCTGGGCACCTCAGCTCCTGCTGTGCCAGGAGAGAAGTGGCTGGGTTTTTTAAGTTTCATGATGCATACTGGTGCTGGCTGCAGGCAGGGCAGGCTCCATCCAAAGGTTTCTCCTGGAAGTCTGTGGGTGGCTGAGAACAGCATCTGCTTAACCAAGTAACTGCCAGCTTGTGTTCGTGGGTTACTAACCTTGACCTCGGGGGTTTCCCTCTGGGAAGTGTGGTGTTGTGCAGTTACCCTGTGAAACAGGGACTCTGGGGGCATTTGCCTGAATTGCCAAATAAATGAGGGCAGCATATTTCTCTTGTCCTGGGCCTCTTTTCCCCATCAAGAGGCTGAGTGCAGCATTGACAGTCTTGCTGCATCATTGTCTTCAGGTCTTGGCCTCTCCTCAAGCTTCTTCCTCTTAAGGGGATCAAGTCTTTTGGCTTTTTTCTTTGGAAGATCTGACTGTGTGCCAGAGAGAAACCCAATTGTCCAGTGCCAGGCCCATCAAGAGTGGCACCCCTGGCACGAACTTCTTAATTATCCCCATTATCCCCACTCTGTACTTAAGCTGAGTTTTCGATCCTTCTTTTCCTTTTAGCTTATTTCTGCTGGAGAAGGGCTGCTCCATTTCGCTCTCTGGTGTGGCTGTTGCAGCAGGAGCCTGCAGTGCTGCCCTGGCAGCTGCCCAGGGGTTATTAGAGGAGGTGTATTGTGGAGCAAGGCTTGGGATCCTCCAGGAGCATTCCAGCGGTGTTCTCCCGGCGGGGCTGACCTGCAGGGCTGGCTCCAGCTCTCCAGGCAAGCCAAGGCTTGCAGAACTGGACCTGCAGCTTTGCTGTGCCTCCCTGTGATTTATGTGAAAGGCTTCCCATAGGCATGGTGGGAATTTTGTGGTAGTGTGAGATGTTGTGGGATCTGCTGCTTTCCAGTAGCTGCTTGTGCCCTTGGAGGACTGTGCTCTGCTCCCTGCCAGGAACATCAGCAGTATTTGTGACCTCTCCTCAGTGAAACGATGGAAAAGGTGTTCACAGAGTCTCATTTACTTGCTTCACACTGGAAATGCCAGAGAAACAAGTTTTTAGGGTATCTTTAACAGGCTGCAGATTATATGGGCACTCCCCATCAAGAAGGTAACATCCCAGTTGTTCAGGAGAAATTTTAGAATTACGAGAGGAACTTGGAGTGGTGGGTTCTCCTGCTGTGCTGGTCCCTTGTGCTGGGCTCTGCTACGTTGTTCCACTGTCCTTCCTGGTGCTGTTCTCTTCTCAGGAACAGTCCTCACCTCAGGAATGGTCTGCACCTCCCTGCTTGGGAATAATCAGAGCAACAGAATTGCTTTTACTGGGGCACATAGTTCTGAGCTCAGAGCTTTGCAGTTTTAGTTTGCAAAGACCATGAAGAAAAATGAAAAGCAACTGAAGAACCCCCCACTTGTCTTCTCTCCCTTAATCCACAAGGTATCACATACAACCCTGCCATGCCATTTGTTTTATTTGTGGGTTCCTTGTCATAAAGGAATGGCAGGGAGGAGTGGAGCATAAAAATCCCCAAATCAGATTGTCCTTTACATCTGATTTCTATAAAGAAAGAGTGTCTCAGGCTTAATCCACTGGTCACATGCTGCTGGCCAGGTTGTCTCCCCAGATGAGCAGTCCCCATCTCCTGTATTTGTCTGGAATATTTTAGAACATTTTAGCTGTAGTGAAAAATGTTTGTGCCAAAGTGAGTAAGCTGATTCTGACAACAGATCTGACGGGGGGTGTGTGCCCTGGGTCTGGTCAGATCCGGGAATGCTGCCTTTGAAAACAGGGAGGCATTTCTAGCACTGCTGCTGAGGGAGTTGCTGCACACAAGGATTTTGTCTGTGCTGTATCACGCTGTGTCCCCAGGCAGATCCACCCAGACTGCTGCTCTGTGACATCCCAATACCTGCTTTTTAGCTCTGGTTGTAAACATCCTTCCTCTCTGGAGCAAACCAAGCCCTCTTTTGGCTTTTCTTGCCCTTCTTCCCTTTTCTTCCTGTGCCAAAGGAGTTATGGAGGCAGGTGGGAGCGTTGCTGTGGTGTGATAGTTGATGCTGTGGAGTAGAGGGTGAGAAGGTGAGAGTGGCTCTGTGGGAGGAGAGAGCAGCAGCTGCAGAGTTGCTTCCCTCCATGACCTGGGAGCAAGCTCCCAGTGCCCAAGCACTCCATGTTTGGCTGTGTTCAATTCACCATCCGTGTTTGTGTCTCCTTTCAGGAATGGATAATCAGACAGTGCTGGCTGTGCAGTCCTTACTGGATGGTCAAGGAGGTGTGACGGATCCATCGGCTCAAAATGTCAACTCCTCCAGTGCCATCCAGCCCATGGGTGAGTCCTGGTGGCACTGGGAGAGAGAGGAGAGGGGTGGGAGTGCTGCACATCCCAGAACAGCTGGATGTGTAGGGGCTGCTACAAGTGTTGGAAGCCCTCAGCAGGACCAGAGCAGGAGGAAGGGGCAAGTGCCTGAGAGAGCTTTTGGAGATGGTCATGACAACAGACTTGACCATGTGCTTCCAATAAAGTCACAGAGGGAGGGAGAAGCCACTGTCTCCACCACTACTTGTTACTGTTCGCATTTTTTATTCAATTAGCCATTCCTTATCCCCTGGGGATACTCCAGCCCTTGAGTATCTCATCTGTGTGAGTGAATGTGGGAACTGGTCATTTATGTGCACATGGGTACTCACAGTGCTTGACTAGGACTGGCTGGGTGGACACCAAGTTATCCTCCAGAGGATTTACAGTCTGTGTCCCCAGGAACGTTCTGCTTCAGGCTGTGAATCAGGAGAAACAGCCTTGTGAGTCCAACTGGATCGTTTACAAGTGGTGTGTGCTTTGCTAAGGCTGCAGATTTCAGCTAGGACGTGTAACTGGGTTGTCTTCTTTCTGCTTTGGGTGTCAAGCAGAGGTGCCAAAAACCATCAGTCCCACGGAAGGGTGGCTTTAGGACAAGCTGACAGTGAGTCTGTGCCTGATCCAAGTTACTTCTCTTCCTTTGTGCAACCTGAGTAATAAAATCTGCCTCAGCCAGCAGAATGTCGGTGCTTTGGAAGAAGCTGCTTTGACTAAAAAGCAGAGGGTGCTTCAGGAGCAAGGCTGGGTTGGTTGTTCCTGTCTTTGGGGTGAGAAGACAGACAGTGGGATTCAGTGTGTCCCAGGGAGACGGTGGGTTTTGTATGTGGGAGCAGGGCTGAGATGGGCTCAATCACATCAGTTGTCTTTAGGGAGAGCTTGGGACTGGGGAGGAGGGACAGCTTGGCCCTTGCAGCTGATCTCTCTGGATGATGATGTCCTTGAGGTGCTGAGATCCAAAAGGTGCCAGTTTTCCCACATTGTGGTTGTTGGGTGTAGCAGGAGAAGGCCTGGAGCAGTGATCTGACCCTCTTCCTTGCAGATGACGAAGACGTGTTCCTCTGTGGGAAGTGCAAGAAGCAGTTCAACTCTCTGCCTGCCTTCATGACCCACAAGAGGGAGCAGTGCCAGGGCAGTGCCCCGTCCCTGTCCACAGTGTCTCTGGCCACCAACAGCGCGTACAGCCCGTCCATCACCTCGGTGCCGCAGGCTCCCAGCGCCGGCCGGCAGGTACCGAGTGCAGGCAGAGCCCCTCTGCCCTGCTGCTGGGATTCTGGGAGGGAGGGACACTGGGGTGAGGCTTTTAGATCCAGTGGTGCCTCGTGACTGACCTCTTTTCTAGGAGGCTCAGTTGTGGTCCTGTTGGCTTCTCACCGTGTGGTTGAAGTGAGGTCCCCTGCAGCGAGGTGTCCTCCAGCATGAGGGTCTGACAGCCCTTTTTCAGGACAGGAGGGGTTTCATCTCCTGGCTGTGCTGAAGAGCCCCAGTGTCACACTGCACAGTACTCAGGTGGCCATGGCTCCTGCTGTCCCCTGGGCTTTAGTCTGGCTCATGGGCAGAAGAAGAGAGCAGCTTCATCCCTCCTCTCACATTCCTACACATAAGCCCACATCATCATCATGGCTGGAAATAAAGATTCCAGAAATAAACCCACATAATGTAGTGTGATGAGCATTGAGGGAATGTCCTCTCTGGAGTAACTCCTTCCACAGAGAATTCTCCAGAGTGATTCCCTACTGCAGGGCATGTACTGTGCCTGCAATTGTGATGGTTTCCAAAATGCTTTCAAACCAACTGCTTTTTTCAAGTTAACATAGTCCCAGTGGATATGGCTTCTTCCCAGGGCTGCAAACACAGGTTGTTTCCACCCCAAAAACTGTGACAGGCACCCTCCCCTCCTATAATCTGAGTCCAGTCCAAAGAGATGAGAATGTTCACCATCTGCAATCAGAGCAGCCTCCCTCAGCTCTCCACCTTCCTGAGCTGGGGCAAGCACCCAGGAGAGGCCTGAACTTGTCTGTGAGGAGTTTGTCCTGCATATCTTGTTTAATAACCCCTGATTTGAATTGTAGCTAGTGGCCACTTTCACCAGCTGCTGTGGTATTCTTTGCCTCCTTTCTGAAGAACGTTTCTGAAGCTGCTTTGTTGTTATGGCTAGAAACTCCCACGGGCTCAGCAGGAAGCTGCAGATAATTACTGTGGCTCACTGCTGACCAGAGGCTGTGAGAGCAGGGACACTGAGGTTCAGCAAGAAGCAGCGTCATCTTTTTTTGGTTATCATTTTGTCCTGTTGCTGCCCAACAGTGCATCCTTTTTCCCTTTCAGCAAATCTCTACATACATCACTGTTCCCCCATCACCTTTGATCCAGACCCTGGTGCAGGGGAACATCTTGGTCAGTGATGAGGTGCTGATGTCAGCCATGTCTGCTTTTGCATCCTTGGACCAGCCCATGCCTGCAGTGCAGCCCCCGGTGCAGGTAAGGGGCACATGTGGGCCCAGGGAGTCTTGCTTAAAGCTCATCCAGTTCCAACCCCCTGCATGGGCAGGGACACCTTCCACTAGACCAGGCTGCTCCAAGCCCCATCCAGCCTGGCCTTAAACACTTCCAGGGGTGCTGCCCCACTGCTGGGGATGCAGCCCAGGACACAGTTGGCTTTCAGGGTTGCAAGTGCTCATGGCCAGGTCATGTTTGGCTTTTCATCCACCAACACCCCCAAAGTCCTTTTGCCCTCAGGGCCGCTCTCAGTCCATTCTCCCTCAGCCTGTACTTCTGCTTGGGATTGCCCTGACCCAGGTGCAGCACTTTGCACTTGGCCTTGTTGAACTTCATGAGATTCACAGAGACACACCTCTCAAGCCTCTCCAGGTCCCTCTGGGTGCCCTGTGCCTTCCTCCAGTGTGTCAACCACACCCCACACTTTGGTGTTGTTGGCAAACCTGCTCGTTGCTGGCTGATCAGATCTTTGTAACGTGGTCTCTCCAGTTTTTGTTGAGGCCCTATATAATGATTGGCTTCCAGACCCTTGTCAGTTTGCTCCAGGGATTCCCTTCCTCCTGTGGTTAGGCTCTCCCCAGGCTGTCTACACTTTCCATGGCTCTGAAAATCTTCCTTGTAACAGGAAGGATTAAAAGCTTTAAAAACAAAGCAATAAAAGCCCTTGGATTTTGGAGGAGACAGTGTGTACCTGTAGGTCATGCCAAGCCTCCAGCACAATCTGCTCCAGCCTGGAGCTGGACACGCTGTGTTGTGCCGAGGCACCAGCAGGTGCTGTTCTGAACTGGGATTGGGAAGGTGTGTGAGGGAGCAGCCCCTCCAGCTCCTGACTGCTGCACTTTGAAGGTGTTGTGTGTCTCTCCCTGTCTGGTTGCAGAGCAGCATGAGTATGCACGCCGGGGCTGGATACCTGTCCCAGCCCCCCCCGCCGCCGCCTCCCCCGCCGCCGCCCCTCCTCAGCCCCCGCCATCCCCCCCGAGCCTGGGGGCTCCGGGGCAGCCCGGGGGCACCACTGGCGTGGTGGAAGTGTACAGTGCCCCTCCTCCCATGGCACCAGCCAGCACGGTGGAGATCCAGACGCTGGGCATGCAGCCCTACCCGCCCATGGAGGTAAGGCTGCCCCCAGGGATCCGTCCTCTTCTGACAAGCGAGGCTGCTCGGGAGTCACCCGGGCTAGAAATCATGAGCTGGAAGGGACCTTAAGTGTCATCTCATTCCACCCGCCACCACCATGGGCAGGGACACCTTCCACTAGACCAGGTTGCTCTGAGCCCTGTCCAACGTGGCCTTCAGGAATGTGGAATTAGAGTGTAGGAAGATGTGTTAGGTTGTTTGACAATGTTTACTTCCTCTGGGAGAAGGTACCAAACAGAAGGGTGTCAGCAAGATGGTGGGGATTCTGAGGAGAAACAGCTAAGAGGGACAGAGACTTGGCCAGCACAGGCTTAGGAGACCTGAGTGTTTGTTGTAGTTGAAGAATACCTGCAGGTGTTGGGAGTGAGGGGGAGCTGAGAGGAGGGATCTCACCTCCCAGAGAGGTACAGAGCACCACCCTGCACACTGCAGGCTTATGTGGAGAGAAAAATTCAGTCTGAATCTCAGTGAGCTTGACAAGGTGGGTTTTCCTAAAGAAAGGCACAGGCAGAGTGGTGCCTTGGTGGGTCAGCTGTTTGCAGTCTCCACATTTGTATTGCCATTCACAACAGAAACTACTGGGTGTAGCTGAGGTTTGTCATCCTTATCTTTGTAGCTGGCATCTGATCTGGAAGTGCCAGTGGTCAGAAGTGGATGGGGATGTTGGATATGTTAATTTATCAGGGTGGGCAGCAGGAACACCCTCAAACCACATCACCCCAGACTGATGCCTCTGTATCTAAGTGTCCTTTTCTAACCTTGGTGCTGACACAAACAGTTGTGCTTTGCCACCTGGAGTTTCCTTGTGCCTTCCTTTCCTTATTCAGTCCTGCCAGGGCAGGCAACAGGGTCTGGAAATGCATGTCTGGGGTCACTGGAGATCCCTGCCACTGGGTCAGCAGTAATCCTGGTAACCTGCTCCAGAGGGATAAGAAGCTCTTATAGGTGAGGGACTAGACAGCTCATTTTAGTGTTTCTTTGCTGTACTCTTCCTGCTGTAATAACTGCTGGATGCTTTTTGATGTTCAGCAGGAACACTGTGCAAGGTGCTACCTTTGGTTAGAGACACATTGTTGGGCTGGTGAACTGGAAATTTGATCCAGTTTGGCAGAGGGCAGAAAACTCAACCAGATTAATAGCCTGATGTTGCTGGAGATGGAGGTTGGGGCACAGGATAATTCTGTGTAGCAAACCTGTCCCACTGATGAATTTCCCTGTCACAGGTACCAAGCCAGTGTGTGGAGAGTCCCGTGTACCCCTCTCCCCCCGTGTACAGCCCTGGGAAGCAGGGGTTCAAGTCCAAGAGTACCAGTGCTCCCACTGCCCTGACCAGCACAGGAGGAGGTCCCATGGTTGGTTTTGATTCCCCTGCTGCTGCCAAAACTCGACGCTGCAAAAACGAGAGCGGGCTGCAGGAAGGTGAGTGTCCTCACAGCACCTGCCCTGCACTCGCCCTGCTTGTCCTGGAGGGGGCTGCTGAGCCACGGGCTCACCAGGCCCCGAGGGGTGGCACTGGCTGTGCAGCTCTGAGGGAGGAACAGGATTCCCTGCATGAAACTGCCAAAAGCAGCTCCAAGCGTGGATGTGCTTCTTGCCTGTCACCCGTGTGTGCACGTGGAAGGACTGTCACTGTGCTGCTGCATGGGCAAACCTGTGCCAAGTCTCTGCAGCTACGAGGTTACTGCATCACACCTGAAGTGGGCACATCTGCCAAGTAAGGTGTTACAGCTCGTTCTACCCCAAGAAGACTGTCCAGCCACAGGGCTGGTGGGCTGGATGTGGCCTGGCCCCAGACACTCTCTTTCCAAGGGCTGAGGAGGCCCATCCCTCTTGTGTGTGTCAACAAAGAAAACACACCTGTCCCCAGGTGAGGCAGGACAGGAGTGTGCCCTGTCCCAGGATGGAGGAGCCCCAGAGCCAAGGCTGACCCGTTGTTGGTGTCCAAGCACACCCAGCTGGGTGACACAGGAGCTCCCAGGTGTGAGGTAGAGGAAAGGCACGTGGCCTTTGTCCCCAGGAAGGCTGGGCCTCTGGAGTTACAACCATACAGATCCTAGGGTTTAACCTTGTTTGCAGAGGTGAGAATGGCCATGCATGCTGCAGTTCAGTCCAGAATTTCTAGAGCAGCCCACAGTTCTGCTGTTCCCCGCGTGTTTAGACCCCATCAGAGTAGATAGAAGATGTGACTGACTGACCTTCTGGAAGGGAGGAATGTGCATGTGCTCTGGCTGATGGCTAACCTGGTGAGTTCACAGCAGAGACAGAGCTGGGGCCCTTCCTCTCTCTAATCCTGTGTCTTTCCCAATGCCCAACATGCCTTTGAAGTGTGTGCTCTGTAGCACAGAAGGGTCTGTGGAAAGGGAGTGGTTAATGCCTGAGGGGGATGCCCTGCCCCACCAGCCTACACTCCTTAGTGCTACTAGAGTTGGCTCAGGCTTTGTTAAATGTATGTTTGTGCCCATAACCTCTCCCTAGTCTGGCCAGGCAGATCCTACCTTTTCATAAGCCCTTTCTTGGTCCTGAGTAGTCATGTCTGGGGGTGAGAGCCCTGTGACACAGTGGGGACAGGGCTGTGCCATGTGGTCTCATTCTTGTCTGTGTTCTTGCTTGCAGGTAAACCCAAGTCCTCCAAGCTGAAATGCACTTACTGTGACAAGGCCTTCACCAAGAACTTTGACCTGCAGCAGCACATCAGAAGGTAACAGTGCCACTGACCTGGACACAGCAGGGTGGCTGGCGTGGAGCTGGGCACAGTTCTGCTGAGGGAGTCTGTGCAGTCCAGTTTGTCATGCCCCAGAATCTATGCTGCAATGGGAGGGGATTCTTCATCCTTCTCATTCCAGGACTCCTCCCCAGTGACTGGGGTGAAGACTGCATCATGGATATAACCTTCGTGCTGATGATGTGGTGGGACTGGAGGCTTGTTTCCCTCACTGATGAGACTTTGACAGCCTTGTCACCTGATCACCTGAGCAGCAGCATCTCCACTGCTTGCCCATGCCCTTCCCTTTTCTGTGCCTCCCTAGCAAGCTGTAGCCCTTGTGTTTGGTGTTTGCTGGTGTTAGCAAACCAAGCCAAGCTCAGTGTTTATACAGGGAGCTCTTATAAGAGAGCTTTTCTTTGGCAGGAGGCAGCTGAAATCTTCAGTTTCCCCCAGCAGAGTCTGCTGGACTCAGAACAGATGAGAGGGAACAAGTGGTGGGCTTGTACCCCTACCCAGCCTGGACTCTTCACGTGATGTACTGCATGTGCTGGAGTCCAGTCTTTCTCCTGAAGCAGAAGGGCAGGGTAGAAAGACCTTTCTGCCCTGGACAGGAGAGAGCAAATTCAGGGAGATGAGATGTCTGCAAGCTAGAAGAGATGTGTGCAGGGGAAGGAAGGGTGGCAGGGAAGGAAAGGCTTGTACCCCTGAGAAAGTGATGGGGGTCCCCAAGATCTGTGCAGAGACCCTGACAGTGAATGTCTTGATGTTGCTGCAGAGCTCTTTTCCTCTCCCACTTCTTCCTTTGACCCCTCGTCATCCCCAGACCACAAGTGTTTTGTCTGGCTGGTTTCACCAGGCCTCTCACAGTCCACCTACTCTGGTGAATGAGGTCTCAAAGCCCTTGTTTGGCTGGCCCAGGTGTGATGTGCCAAGCTGAGTGCCCAGCACTGTCCTGCAGCAGCCAGCCCACCACAGGCCCTGCCTGGGGGCTGCCTCCTGTCTCCACCAGCTGCTGATTTGGTGCCTTCTGCTTTCAGCCACACAGGTGAGAAGCCCTTCCAGTGTATCGTGTGTGGCCGAGCCTTTGCCCAGAAGTCCAACGTGAAGAAGCACATGCAGACCCACAAAGTGTGGCCTCCAGGGCTGGGCTGCACCATCTCCCGCAACTCCATCACAGTGCAGGTCATGGCCTTGAATCCCAACCAGCCAGAGGACGAGGAGAACACAGGTTTGCTGTCTGGGGGTGGCATGAGCGTGGGGCAGGGCAATGATTTGGGGAGGCTGCAGGGCCCTGCACCTCCACACGGGGAGGGAGGGGAGGTGTGTGTGCTGTGTGCAGTCCTGGGTGGGGTTTAGCAGCTCACACTAAGCAAGTTTCATTTGCTCAGGTCTAGCTGGCAGGTGCATCCTTTTGTACCCCGAGCCATGGTGGATTCAGTGCTGGTGGAGACAGTGACTCCAAACTCTGTGCCAGTATGTGCATGCAGACAGGACAAAGTGTCTTCCCCTTCTCACTCCCTGGCAGATGCATGAGCCACCTCTGACAGCTCTGGTCTAGGGGCTAGACAACCCAGTGGTTTAAGGTAGCCCAGTGCCCTTGCTTGATTGCAACATGCATGTTATGCCTGGGCTGGATCTGCCACAGCAGCCACCTGAAAATACCTGAGGCAGAGAAGAGCTCCTTGGTGGTGTCTGGATGCCCTCTCTGCTGGTGGCCCCAGTCCTGGTAGGGGAGTAAGGGCAGTGACAATGTCATGTCTAAGACAAGGCCTCACTGGAACTGCCCTCTGCAGACATCATGGACTGAGCTGGCTGGATCTTAACCTCCTGTCTTCTACTGGAATGGGAGTAAATCTGGCTCTGGTTCACTGGTAGAGGCCTGTTCTCTGACTGCTCCACAAAGCACAGTTATATCCATGGAAAAAGGGAACTGGTTAAGGAGAGGAAGACACGGTAGTCAGAGCCCTGATGTATCTCTTGACAAATTTAAAACCACCCTGTTATTGAGATCTAAAGAATCTGTCTTTGAAAGGGAGGAGGAGCCTGGCCTGACCTGGCCCTCAGAGCAGCCTTCAGAGCTGTCTCATGTCAGGGTGTGACTTTCTCCCCTTCTGCAGGTTTGCCTCAGCCCTCGAGGAACCCCATGCTACCACCCCAAGAGCTGAGCCCCTTGGAGGACAGCGAGGCAGGCAAGCTGGAGGCCAAGCAGGTTGTCTTGATCGACAGCTCTTACCAGTGCCAGTTCTGCCCCAGCAAGTTCAACACCTATTTCCAGCTCAAATCACACATGACACAGCACAAGAATGAGCAGGTAGGGACAGAGGGTGCCCTGTGGGGTGGTGAGGTTGGGATGGGCATCATATAGCGCACCAGGGTCTGTCCTGAGCCTCTTGCTCTGTAAAGCTGCCAGTGCTTCCCATGCAGCTCAGCCCTCAGGGTTGTAGCTGTGTGATCTGGACAGCTTTGAAAAGCTCCTCTGCCTCCACCCTGCTGAGTGAGAAGTCAACCAAGCAGGTTTGGGTGGCTAGAAAAGAAGCAAAGAAGTGAAGTGTGTCTAGTTCTGGGCCACTCACTTAAAGAAAGACATAGAGGGGCTGGAGTGTGTCCAGAGAAGGGCAACGATGCTGGGGAAGGGTCTGGAGACTCAGTCATATGAGGGGGGGCTGAGGGAGCTGGGAGGGCTCAGCCTGGAGAAAAGGAGGCTCAGGGGGGACGTTCTGGCTCTCTATAACTCCCTGACAGGAGGGTGGAGCCGGGTGGGTCAGGCTCTGCTCCCAGGCAACAAGGGACAGGATGAGAGAAAATGGTCTCAAGCTGTGCCAGGTGGTTTAGGATAGCCCAGGGGAGGTTCAGGTTGGACATCAGGAAGAATTTCTTCCCAGAAAGGGCTGTCAGGCATTGGAATGGGCTGTTCAGGAAGTGGGGGAGTCGCCATCCCTGAAAGTGTTCAGCAAACAACTGGACATGACACTTAGTGCTGTGGTTTAGTTGACAAGGTGGTGATCTGTCAGAGGTTGGACTCGATGGTCTTGGAGGTCTTTTCCGGCCTTACTGATTTGATAACTCTATGAAGTCCAAAGTTTTCAGTGCAGGTGTTGTGGGACAGTCACTACTGGGGTGTTGTGGTCTCACCTGCCTGAGCGGTTTCAGGCCCTCACACCAACACCCCTTTGTCCCGCCTTGCTTTCTCAGGGGAGTGCCCTGAGAGTCCATATTTCTTCCCAAAAAGGAAGGCCACTCTGCCTGTTGGCAGAAGGTTTTCCCTGGCTGTTTCCATGTTGTGCTGCTCCAGCCACTCTCCCTTCTCCCAGGTGTACAAGTGCGTGGTGAAGACCTGTGCTCAGACCTTCCAGAAGCTGGAGTCCTTCCTTGAGCACATCAAGAGCCACCAGGAGGAGCTGAGCTACCGCTGCCACCTCTGCAGCAAGGACTTCCCCTCCCTGTACGAGCTGGGTGTCCACCAGTACTCACACAGCCTGCTGCCCCAGCACAGCCCCAAGAAGGACGTGGCCGTGTACAAGTACAGTAGCAATCGGTGCTCACAAGGCTTGTAGGAGTGAGTGGGTGCAGAGTGTGTTTGGTGGGGACCTTAGAGGGAAGAGGGGGCCCTGTGTGATTAGTGGCTGTGGTTCTTTTGGGCACCCAGATGGCAAGTGGGGGGCCCCTCCAGCTGGTTGCTAGGGCCAAGCACTTGGAATGTGTGGCCGAGAAGGCCAATGGATCCTGGGCTGGCTCAGGAACAGGGTGGCAGCAGGAGCAGGGCTCCTGTGATTCTGCCCCTGGACTCAGCACTGGTGAGGCCACCCCTGGAGTGCTGTGTCCAGCTCTGGGCCCTCAGCTCAGGAAGGACATGGAGGGGCTGGAGCAGGGCCAGGGAAGAGCAGCGAGGCTGGGGAAGGGACTGGAGCACAAGTGCTGTGAGGAGAGGCTGAGGGAGCTGGGGGGGCTCAGCCTGGAGAGGAGGAGGCTCAGCCTGGAGAGGAGGAGGCTCAGCCTGGAGAGGAGGAGGCTCAGCCTGGAGAGGAGGAGGCTCAGGGGAGACCTCCTCACTCTCTACAACTCCCTGACAGGAGGTTGTAGCCAGATGAGGGTCAGTCTCCCAGCAGTGGGACAAGAGGGCACGTCCTTAAGCTGTGCCAGGGGAGGTTTAGGTTGGACATTAGGAAGAAATTCTTTACAGAGTGTTCAGCCATTGGAATGGGCTGCCCAGGGAGGGGGTGGATTCACCATCCCTGGAGGTTTTCAAGAAGAGACTGGATATGGCTCTTAGTGCCATGGTTTAGTAGGCCAGGTGGTGTTGGGTCATAGGTTGGACTTGATGATCTCAGAGGTCTTTTCCAACCTGGTTGATTGTGGGATTCAGTGAATGCTTTTGGAACAACAGTGAAAGGCTGGGATTGATTATGTGGGAAGATCCTGTCACTGCAAGTCCTTTTATCACCAGTCAAGAGTAAGATGGGCACAGATGAACCTGCTCTTGGCTGGGTCAGAGACCCAGGGAAGCCCCTTCTCAGCTTGTTTTCTGTGGTTCTTTAACACCTGCAGCAAAGGGAGTATGGGCTGTAGAAGCTGTGCCCCAAAAAAATCTATCCTTTGCTGCAAAAGGGTCTGTTCCCTGGGAAGCATTTCTACTTCTGGGTGAGAACTCCTAGAAAAACCTCCCTGGAACTTTTGAAATGCCTGTAGAGATGTTCAGGAAGACTAGGAAGCCCAGAAGATACTGAAGTGACCTAGGAGCTTCATGGAATAAATATCTGCTACTTCTTGCATAGTCCATGGTTTCTAGTTATCCTTGCACTATGGAGTTTCATCCTGCAGCTTGCTAGTGGGGATCCTTGAGATTAGAGCCCTGCTTCTGTTTGAGGAGGTGTTAGTCTGACCTAAGGAGAAGGGTACACCCTGTGAGTGCCTCTGTTCCCATTGCTGGTGGTGCTTCTCTCTGTCAGCTTTGGCAGAGCTCTCCAGCTGAAATACTGCCAGGATATGTCAACCCTGTCATCCTGTACCCTCCCTCTCAGCTCCTTCACCGGAGCAATAAAAATGGAAGCAGTGAAGGTGGAAGGAGGTGTTTTGGGTAAGGTGAAGTCAGTATTTAGGGCTTGTCTCCACGAGGAAGCAGTGTGGAATATGTGCCCATGGCAGTCTGTGTGGAAGAGCATTGGAATTTAAAGGCTTCTCCACCCAGTTTTCCAGCATCTCCCCCTCTGAAGGGTGCTGAGTGTGAGTGTGAGCTGGCATGTGGGTTGCTGAGGTTTCAGAGCACCTGAGAGATTATTTTCTGTACCAAACCAACCCTGTCAGGGATCACCCTGGAAGGTGGCTGGGCTGGGCAGTGGTGTGGGGTTTGCTGAGGAGCCTTGCTCACAGGCTCTGTCCTTTCTCTCCCCATCCAGGTGTGTGAAGTGTGTCAATAAATACTCCACCCCGGAAGCCCTGGAGCACCATCTGCAGACGGCAACGCACAACTTCCCCTGCCCTCACTGCCAGAAGGTGGGTGGGTGATCCCTCCCTGAGCCAGGCCTGGACACCTGGCAGGGGCTCTGAGGGGGCAGGAACCCTCAGCTCCCTTTCTTCTCCCTTTCTACCTCAGTATGGACTGGCAGGTGCCCACAAGCTGCTTTCCAGGGGACAGAGGTGGTTGCACCCCTGGCCTCCAGTTCTCTGGCCTCACACAGAGTATGTTCCTCCCTGCAGTGTTGGCTTTTCTCCTGGGTCCTGTTTACTGAACAGGATTTGTCAGGGCAGCTCCCTTATTCCCACAGCAACACAGGACACTAGGCTGCTGTCCTTACTGCTTAAAAGCAAGTGTACCAGGAGGAGCAAGGCTGGTTTTGGGAAGTCTGACCTATCATTCTGGGCTATATCTGGCTGGAAGGGTTGGGCACTGAAAGCTCCAAGTCCTGTGGGAGCTCCTACACCTCCATTGCTATCCTCATCTCCCATTGCCACACAAGTCTCTGAGTTCCCCCTCGTTCTTCTCTTTTTTGGATGAGTGCTCTGTGGTCCTTGGCAAAGAGAAACCTGTCTGAGTGATGGGACTGGGAGTGGAATGATGCCTGGGTAGGTTTTGGCTGGAAATATTCTCATCAGCACAGCCCCTGAGGGAGTTTGAGGGGCAGAACTTTGTGGGGCTTGAATTCTGATGAATTATTTTTTGAAATCCAGACTAAAATTTGGACCCTTGCTCCTCTGTTTATAGCAAAGGAAATGAAAATCCTGCAGTGGGGGCAGGGACAATCTCAAAGGAGTGACCACTCTGTACTGAGGTAGCTCAGGAAGGGGAAACACACTCCTGCCATGGTTAGTAACCCATCTTTCTTACCTGTCTTCTCTCACTTCCTCAGCCAGGTGACAGGTGCCCTTCTGAGCCCAGCTGGGACTGTCAGCACGCAGCAGATGGGTTTGAGAGCCCATTACCTGCAGCAGTATTTTTTACTTCTGTTTGAATTCATACTAATCTTGCTGTTTTCTAGAGATCTGAGAGCACAGTCTAGGTGCCAGAACTCTGAAGTTTTCCTTTGCTCCCCTCAGGTGTGCTTGCAGCACGTTCATTAGGAATTCCCTCAGCTGGCTGTTTCCAGTATCCCCATTAGCCAAAGGAGCCATTCTTCCTGGCTTTATAAAGACCATGAATGGGAATCTTTGGTAACAGATTATGAGGAAGCAGAAAGGGAGGTTAACTGGGTGGGAAGGTAATAATTACAGGGGGTCATTGCCCAGCACATCTAGTGCTGGCTTGGCTGGGGGACTGGGCATCCATCTGGAATGCTGGTTCTCAGCACTGTGGTAGTACAAAATTAACAGCAAGGTATCAGATTATGTGTTTCTTAAGGATAAGAAAGTTTTGGCTTTGGGTTTTTTAGTGTTTTGGTTTTGGGGTTTTTTGTTTGGTTTTTTGGGGGGGTTTGTTTTGTTGGTTTGTTTTGGGTTTTTTTTGTTGTTTTTTTTTTTTGGGGGGGGGGGTTGCTTTGTTCGTTGTTTTGGTTTGGTTTTTTGTTTGTTTTCTGTTTTGGGGTTTTATTTGTTAGTTTGTTTTTAGCACTGTATCTGTGTTTTCCTTATACAATCCTGAAGGTTTTCTCAGCGCATCCTTCCTGAGAAAGCAGTCACCTTGAGTTTTCTGCTCAGGTTGCCCAGAGAAGCTGTGGCTACCCCATCCCTGGAAGTGTCCAAGGCCAGGTTGGACAGGGCTTGGAGCAACCTGGGACAGTGGAAGGTGTCCCTGCCCATGGCAGGGGGTGGGACTGTCTGATCCTTAAGGTCCCTCCCAACGGGGATTCTATGATTCTTATGTTTTCTCCACAGGCTACACCTCCCTTGGCAGTGCCAGCTGAGTGATGTCAGGGGTGTCCTGCTGGCTCAGCCTTGCTCCTGTGTGTTCCCAGGTGTTCCCCTGCGAGAGGTACCTGCGCCGCCACATCCCCACGCACGGCGGGGGCAGCAAGTTCAAGTGCCAGATCTGCAAGAAGTTCTTCCGTCGGGAGCACTACCTCAAGCTGCACGCCCACATCCACTCGGGTACAGCTCCCACAGCTCCCAGTGCTTGTCCTCTCTGTGCCCCTGTGCCCCTGGCTCTTTTCCTGATAACGGGAATAACTCCGAGTCATTTGTAGGAATGTGAGTTCAGGACGTGTGTGGTTTTGCCTCAGCCCCATGCCCAGTACCACTCCAGTTAGAAGTGGGACACACAGGTGGCCTCCCCCGATGCCTTAGAGTAGGAGAAATAATTCTCTGGAGCATTTTTGAGTATTAAAAGGCAAAAAGCACTCCTTTATAATGGCACCGAGGGTGCACAGGAATATTTTGCACACACTGAGTTGCACAGGCTTTACAAGTTTATACTGTCATCTAATTACAATATTCAGGATCTAATTACAATATTTGGACATCACCTCATCTGTTACACCCAATTCCAAAACTGTCCCTTCCATATCCCTGCCCTCACCACACCCCCAGCATGCCTCCTGAATCTGAGTCGGAGGTCCCAAAAAGACCCCATTTTCATCTTCTCTTCCTCTTCCTCATCTCCTTAGACACCGTATCATGCCTTCTGGAGTGGTTTCAAGGCTCCTGAGTAGCTCTGACTGGAGCTACTCATTCTCAGTACATCTCTTTCTCAGTACATTTTCACAGATAGAAAAACCCTTTACCTCATTCTATCGAAGCTCTTAACAAAGAATGATAAAGAGCATTTTAGGAATTTTGTACAAAGGTAGTAACAAGCTATACTAGAAACTTATATAATATAGGTTTTACGGCTCCCCCCCCTTCCTGTGGTTGCAGAACTGTGGAATTTGGCCCTGGAGAGCAGGAGCAATGTGCAGCATGGATTGTACCCATCGGGCAGGGAAGTTTGGGGAAGTTTATATTGGGCACAGCCACCATGGTGGATCCTGTCCTGTGTGGCTGGACCGTCCCTGACTCTCGGCCCCTCTCTTGCCCAGGTGAGAAGCCCTTCAAGTGCTCGGTGTGCGACGCCGCCTTCAACCGCAAGGACAAGCTCAAGCGGCACATGCTGATCCACGAGCCCTTCAAGAAGTACAAATGTCCCTTCTCGTACGTAGTGGGTCTCCAGCATGGTTGGGATAGGGCTTGGGGTGGAAGGGATGTCTCCTGCAGGTACCCCAGGGTACACTGAGGCACCTTCCAACCCACTGCTTCTTGGGGAGGTGGGAATGCTCCGGGCTTTTGAGTTGGGAACCCAGGAGTTCTTTGTCGTTGTCATCCCGTGGGATCACATCATTTCATCCCAGTTCATCAGCCCTGCAAAATAACACCTGCCTTCATGGGAAGCTTTGGGGAGCACCTGGGGAGCACCAGGGCAGAGAAGGAGCATTATTGACCATGGAGCACAGGGGTGCCTGAATGATGGGCTCTCCCCAGCTGCCACTTCTCCAAAGGCACTTGGCAGTATAGAACCTTATGTGAGAGCCAGAAAAACCCAGGTTTGGAAGGTACACATCCAAATCCATGGCACAGCCATGGGCCTTCTGAGATAACCAAGTTTGATGGGCTTCTCCCTGCTCCAGCCACCTTGTAGCTCCTTCCAAAGTACTTCTGTCTCCAGCTGGGATCTTGAACCTGCTGGTTTTAGGAGCATTTATAGTGAGACACAGACTGTGTGTAATAGAGGAAAAGCCATGTGTCCCTGTAGCAGCCTGCTTATTCCTTGTTCCTCCCCAGAAAGGCTGGGAGCTGAGCTCCTGCTGAGGGAGCCATCTGGGTGTTGCTAAGGAGAAGGGTCATGGATCTGTTTTTGGTCCAGGATCTGTTTATACATCGACCCCCAGCCCATTCATGCTGCTCACCAGCATTTGTTGTTGTTGCAGAAGCCACACGGGCTGCAATAAAGAGTTCAACAGGCCTGACAAGCTGAAGGCTCACATTCTGTCCCATTCAGGTAAGGGGTTGGGAATGCAGGGACTGGGATTTGCTGTGGTGCTGCAGGAGCATGTGATGGAAGGAGTCAGCCTGAGAAAGAAGAATAAATAATTAGCTTTAGATTTTTTTTTCTCTGTGTTGTTGCAGGCCTGTTTAAGTGAGCTTGTATTTAGGACTATGTCTAAGCTTTGGGCTGTTTTCTAAGACAATATGTAGGCAGGTCCTGCTGGTGAAACTCTGAAAAAGAGCTAGCTGATTGCTCAGTGTGTTTGCTGTCAAATCAATATCCAGAGTGCTCTGTCCACTCCTCCCTAGTCCCATCTCACATGCAAAAGGATTTGGGATTTGTTTCCCTTCTCTCTGTGTTCCAAAAATGATGTTCCCACTCCTAATAAGGACAAATCATTTATTCCTGTGCCCTAGGGAACATTCAGACTTTTGTCTCTTGGGGTAAAAATAAAGTCTTTCCTTGTTCCCAAAGCCCTGCAGAGTGGGATCAGATGGGATGTGCTGACAGTGCAGTTATGGGTTGTTTCAGACTGCACATTCCCATAATTTGGAAGGAAAAAAAAGTGAAAATTTCTTTACTTACCAAATACACTTAGAGAAAATAATACCTTAAGATTATTTTGCATTTTCACCACAATTACCTGACATGTTTTTCTGGTATTTTAATCCTCTTCTTTGAGGCAAGAATACTCTCTACAACTCCCTGACAGGAGGGGGGAGCTAGGTGGGGGTTGGTATCTTCTCCCAGGAACCAGCAGTGAGACGAGGGCATGGTCTGATGCTGTGCCAGGGGAGGTTTAGGTTGGACATTAGGAGGGAATTCTTTACAGAGAGGGTGATCAGGCATTGGAATGGGCTGCCCAGGGAGGGGGTGGATTCACTGGAGGTGTTTAAGGTGAGACTGGATGTGGCATCAGTGCCATGGGCTGGGAACCACAGTGGGGTTGGATCAAGGGTTGGACTGGATGATCTGTCAGGTCTTTTCCAACTCAGTTGATTCTGTGATTTTGTGAATGTTTATTTGCAGTCAGCAGCTTCCTCCTGAGGGGCAGTGCAGAGGCAGGCACTGATCTCTGTGAGCAGTGACAGGACCCAAGGGAATGGCTGGAGCTGTGTCAGGGCAGGCTCAGGTTGGATCTCAGGAAAAGGTTCTTCCCCCAGAGGGTGGTTGGCACTGACCAGGCTCCCCAGGGCAGTGGGCACAGCCCCAAGGCTGCCAGAGCTCCAGGAGGGTTTGGACAATGCTCTCAGGGAGAGGGTGGGATTGTTGGGGTGTCTGTGCAGGGCCAGGATTTGGACTGGATGATCCCTGTGGGTCCCTTCCAGCTCAGGATATTCTCTGATTCTACAAACAATAGTTAAACACAGCCATTTAAGCTGTAGCCACCCACCCTTTTCTGCCTGCAAATTTGCCTGGCACGACATCTCCTCCCATTCACCAAGGAACATCTCCTCGGAGAGGAGGTGAAGCTCTGCCCTGGAGGGTCTCTAACGCAGCTCTGTCCTGTGCAGGGATGAAGATCCACAAGTGCCAGTACTGTAACAAGTCCTTCAGCCGCCGCGCCCACATGGTGGAGCACCAGCGCTCCCACACCGGCAACTACAAGTACCGCTGCCCCACCTGCAGCAAGGGCTTCACCCGCCACCAAGTACATGAAGGACCACAAGTGCCGGCTGGGCTCGCCCCAAGGACAAGGACACCTGCAGCTCAGGAAGCCCCAGAAGAAGCGGGTGGCACGGGGGGGGCGCAAGGCGGGCCTGGCCCTGCCCGGGCTGGCCGAGCTGAAGGACGGCGGCGCTGCCGGGGAGAGCCCCCCCGAGGGGGGCCCCGACAAAGAGCCCTTCCAGGAGTCAGATGCTGTCCTGTCCATCGTGGTCGGGGGGTCAGGAGCTGCTGACTCGGACCTTGTCGCCGGGCAGCCCAACAGCATGGCATCCAACCTGGCCCTGGCAGAGCTGCAGGCGGGCTCGGACGGGCCCTGCACCATGCTGGCTGTCCCTGTGTACATCCAGAGCACCGAGTGACCGTGCCCAGAGCCACTGTGTGGCTGTTGGACTCGGTGCTCAAATCTATCCCAGTGAAAAAGACCAAAGCTCTGGTGGGGAGGTAGATGGATATGGGAGAGGATGACTTTCATCTCCACTGAGTCTTCCCATCCTGGAGCAGAGGACTGCTTGGAAGCCACTGGTGGCTACGAGGCACTGAAGAAGGCAGCTCCATTATTTCTTGTCCCTCTGCATCACGGGTCTGCTTAGGGCAAGAAAGACAAAGATCCCTGAATCAGGGTAAGAAGAAGGAGCGTGCAAACCTGCAACACACAGAGCTGCTGAAATCTGGTGGCTTTGCAAATCACAGCCTGTCCCATCTGTGGTTTTTCTGGCCTAAAAGCTGTATTGCCCAGTATTTGGGTGGCCCTTCTGAGAGCAAGCAATTGATCCTTCCTAGTGGAAGCGAGTTCATCCTGAGATCCTTTGGGAACACTGTTCAGAAATACCCTGGTAGACTTGTGTCTGGTATCTTCTCTCTGTGTCTCTCAGTAGAAAGATCACCGTGTTTGTACCACACGAGTTATAAACACCCTGGACCTCACGTGCCCTGTGGAGTCTGTGTGGGAGCACATGTGTGTGTTGGCTCTTCTCTCAGGTTGCTCTTCTCTCCACAGTGTTTTGTTCATGGTTTGTCCACATATCCAAGGATCTCTGAGTGCCTTTGGCATCAGTGAGCCAATCCCTGGGAACAGTTAAACCTGACCCCTGTGTACAGTGGCCTGGGTGAGGTGACCTGTCCAGGAAACCTGTGATGCATCCAGAAGCTGGTGTTGCAGTGTCAGCTCTGGGCCAGGTGCTGCAAAGAAGCTCTGTCAGCTGCTTCCCAGCCTCCACCTTCCCTTAGCTCAGTCCTGTGGGCCAGTTGTCAGCAAATTCACTGGGGAGTTCGTGTGGTTAAACAGCAAGAAAGTCTGGTATGACTGGGACAATTCCCTTATCCACTTGGATTCTTCTCTGATTTCCCAAGTAGGAGTCTCCCAAAGTCTCACTGCCCTGCCAGGCTCCTCCTGTGCTGCCCTCAGCCTCCATTTTTAGGCTGCCACAGGATGCACTGGCTGTTGGGGAAGGGAACTTGACCCAGACCTGCACATTGCTGCTGCCTCCAGGTCCTCCTGGGATGCTTTCTCCCCGCTCCATGTGTGGGTGAGCTGAGCTGGGCTTCCCCCTGGTAAATCTGTGTAATGAGATGCTCAGCTGTCTGTGGATGCAAAGTGCTGTATTTCCAGCCTGTTTATCCAGAGTGTGGGTTCAGTCAGTCCTGGGTACTGAAATGCTGGCTGTGGAATCCCAACCTTCCTCTCTGGGAAATGGTGGGTGTTTGGCCACTGGAGCCAACTGGTCTGACTGGGCTGACCCTGCAGCCTGCCTGAGCTCCAGCCCTTGCTTGACCTCAGGGTGCTTTTCTTGTCTCCTTGCTTAAATCTTAAAAACTTTAAATCTCAAAAATAGCAGCTTGCAGAGGGCAGTACCCATCGTGTGTCTCCTGGTGTTCCTGTGCTCCCAGGCTGGGATGTCTAATGATGGGTTACACTGTCACTCCTGGGACACTGTCACACAGTTCCCTTCAGGATGGGTCCTGCCAGCACTTCACTCCCTCACTTTCCTAACTCATTTTTTGCTCATTTGACTTTTTTTTGTCGTGTTTCTGCACCTCCAGCTGTTGTTGCCTGTGAGGAAATGGAGCTCAGGGCTTACAGGAGGAGGCTGGAGAAGGGGTTGCTGAGGGTTTACAAGAGGTTAAGGAGAGGTCTTGCTGCTGCCTCACAGGATGGGGTGGAGAAGATGAAGCCAAGCTCCAGAGGTGCACAGGGATGGACCAGAGGTGACAGGGACACGTTGGAATGTGGCAAATTGCAGCACCTGAAGGAGCTTACAAGAAAGCTGGAGAGGGACTTCTCATAAAGGCTTGGAGTGATGGGACAAGGGAGAATGGCCTTAAGCAGAAGGAGGGTAGGGTTAGGTAGGATATTGGGAAGAAATTCTCCCCTGTGAGGGTGGGGAGGCCCTGGCACAGGTTGCCCAGAGAAGCTGTGGCTGCCCCATCCCTGGAAGTGTCCAAGGCCAGGTTGGATGGGGCTTGGAGCAACCTGGGCTAGTGGAAGGTGTCCCTGCCCATGGCAGGGGGTGGCACTGGATGATTTTTGAGGTCCCTTCCAACCCAAACCATTCCATGATTCTAACTTCTGATTTGATATGAAGAAAAGTCCACCATGGGTGGTCAAATAAAGGAGAGGCTGGGAGACCCCAGTACCAAACTGCTCAGAGTATCCTGCTCTGAGCAGACGTGCTGGGGAGGAGCTGGCTGGCTGGGGACATCCAGGTGGCCCTTCCTGCTTGGGTGTGTCTGTGGTGCTGTGAAACTTCCTGCCTGCCTTGAAGGGCAGAGTTTATTTACCCACAGTGTTTGTTTTAAGCACTCAGCTCTCCCACGAGGGGATCAGTATCAGGAAACAGTTTGCTAAATATACTTTTCCTATTCCCCTTCCCTCTGTACCACTCTGTACATGTCATTATGTGGTCTCTGCAGTCGGGTTTATTTTGAGATGACGATGGTGGCACTGTCTGGAGGCCTGGCCTTCCCTTCCCAAATCCTGCTTTCCCCCAGCTCGGCGCAGGCTCAGTGGGATGCTGGAACCTGGTCTGCACTGGCTACACTGAGTGTAATTCAGAGGGTGGGAGCAGAGCCACAAAACAGCCAGGATGCGACTGTTGAGGAATACAAGACTGGGAAGTGTCCTTAACATGACTGTGGGACTCAAAGATGCCACCCTGGCTGGTGGATGCATGTTTGCATGTGGGGTGGTGTTGAACCAAAACAAGTTTTATCTTGGGCGTACGATTGTCCTCTCAGACTAAACCTTGCACTGATTTTCCTCCCTGTCCTAGTCTTGTCCAGTTGCTTCAGCTCCTGCAAACCTGGCATGAACTGAGATATCTACAAGCTCTTCTACTCCCTGGAGGGAAGAATTCTGCCCAGAATTTCCCCTTTGTTTCTGTTTCCTTGGAAGAGCCCTGCCCACTGCTCAGCTGCAGCGTGGGCCGAGGTGGATCGAAGCTGCTCAGGGCACTGGTTTTCCCCCCAGCACCTTTCCACAGGGTTGGTTCCATCGTGTGTCCTGGGAACAGCTGTTTTCTTTACAAACCCACCAGCAGAAGCATCTTGCCATTTTCTGGAAGTTCCAGAGCCAAAGCCATCCCCTGGGAGCACTGGAGCAGAGCAGAGGTCCGTGGTGCTCGCTGGCAGCAGATGCTTGTGTGAGAGTGAGAAACAGGCAGGTAAAAGCTCTTCCTTACCCTGCTCAGCCTCCCATGCTGTCAGCTGGGAGCTTTCCTGCCCTGGGAGTGATTCCATCAGCCTCAGTGGGATTCTCCTGTGTATTTATTTGCCTTTCCCACCTATCTTCAATGGCAATGTTACCAAGGTGGACCAAGGCAGGAGCCCTTACACAGCTCTGCTGCTGAACTCCCACCTGGTACGTGGGAAGCTCCTTTTACTTCCCTTGCAGTGCTTTTCCCTCTTACTCCTGGCTGGGAAAACCCTCTGTTGCCCGGCAAGCATTTGTTTGGTTCATTTTTCCTCTTTTCCCTGTGGTGTGTATATTCCAGCCTGTTGTACAGAGCACCAACTACTCCAGCCCTGCTCCAGATTGATTTCCTTGGGCCATTTCCAGTGGCAAACAGTGTTATTGTCCAAGTGTGTTACTAATTAACTTGTTTTCACAACCCCGCTGACTGGAGATGGGGGTTTATCACTCTTCCAGGTGGTTGAGGCCAAGCACAAAGGAGCAGAATTCGAAAGTATCCAGGAAATCTTGGCACCAGGCACCTCAATTTTCTCCTGGGACTTTGTCTACAGGTACTGTGAAATTATGGATTCCAGCATGGAAATATGACTGTGCTGCCTCCCCAGCTCGGAGGGAGTGACTCAAGTGTCCAGGAAATGAGCTCACAAATAGTCACCACCAATGAGGCAACAATACCCCTGGATTGAAGAACTGCTTTGGGACAGGTGGCAAGTTAGAAAGGGAAGTTTAAAAGGATAAATTTTCCCGTACACGATCTCGCCACCGGAGGTGGCTGTGCCTGAGGGGGGGGTCACTCCAGCAGTGAGGATGGAGCTAGAGAAGGAGGGGTTTGTCCAGGAATCACACCCAGCCCACTCCTGGCTCCCAGCTCTGGCACCGGTCACTTCTTGGTCACTTAAAGCATGTCCAGGGAAGGGGACGGAGCTGGGCAAGGGGCTGGAGCAGCTGAGGGAGCTGGGGGGGCTCAGCCTGGAGAAAAGGAGGCTCAGGGGGGACCTTCTGGCTCTGCAACCCCCTGACAGGAGGAGGGAGCCGGGGGAAGTCGGGCTCTGCTCCCAGGGAACAAGGGACAGGAGGAGAGGAAAGAGCCTCCAGCTGTGCCAGGGGAGGTTTAGGTTGGATATCAGGGAAAATTTCTTCCGGGAAGGGGTGGTCAGGCATTGGAAGGAGCTGCCTAGGGACGTCGTGGAGTCCCCATCCCTGGAGGTGTCCCAGGAGTGACTGGCCGTGGCACTCAGCGCTCTGGGCTGGGGGACAAGGCGGGGATCGGGCACAGGGTGGACTCGGTGACCTCAGAGCCCTTTTCCAACCCGAACCATTCCATGACCCTCCACCTGAGCCGGGTCCCCCCGGGCGCCGTGAGCCCCTGCTGTGGTGTCAGCCCCCTCCACCGTCCCTGCCCGGTGGAGGGGCTCCCGGGCGCGAGCCCCACCGGCAGCGGGGGTGCTCGCCTCGCTCCCCCTCCACTCCCCTCACTCCGCGGCTGTCCCCGCTCAGCCCGCGGCCCGCCCTTCTCCCGGCCCCGTGACGTGCACCACCCGCTCTGACGTCCACTCGCCCGCAGCCGCTGCGCGTTTCCGCTCGGCGGGACTCCGCCTATTCCGGCGTGCCCGCGCGGCCGCCGCGCCGAGCCTCCAATGCTTCCGCGGCACGCACCCGCGCGCGGAGGCGGCGGCGGCGGGCGCTGCGCGGGCGGGCGCAAAGGCACGCCGGGAGTTGTATGGCGCGCGCGCCGGGAGCGGCGTGGGCGAGGCGGGCGGGCGCGGGCGCCCGGCGGCGGCCTCCCGGTGCCTCGGGTCGTGGTGCGTCGTAGAGGAAGCGCGAGCGGCGGGAGCGGCACCGCAGCTGCAACCGGCCTCGGCCGGCCCCGCGCAGCCATGGTCGGGGCTCCTGGGGAAGCTGTTTCGGGACGGGCGCCGGCGGGAAGGGGCGGCGGGAAGGGCCCTTCCCCGCAGGAGGCGATCCAGCGACTCCGCGACACGGAGGAGATGCTGAGCAAGAAGCAGGAGTTCCTGGAGAAGAAGATCGAGCAGGAGCTGGCGGCCGCCCGCAAGCACGGCACCAAGAACAAGCGCGGTGAGCGGGGGGGGCTGCGCCGGGCCGGGCCTGAGCTGGGCAACAGGTCGGGAGGGCCGGGGCGGGGCCTGCACGGCACAGACACAGCCGGGCTGCCGAGCTTCCCACCGCAGTGCCTTTATTTCCTACCCTAATGCCTTTATTTCCCACTCCAGGGCCTTTATTTTCTCCCCTAATACTTTTATTTCCTACTTGAGTGCCTTTATTTTCTACCCTAATACCTTTATCTTCTACCCTGATATCTTTATTTTCTATCCTTGGACCTTTTTTTCCTACCCTAGTGCCCTTATTTTTTACCCTAACGTCTCTTATTTCCTACCTTTTGCCTTTGTTTTTCAGCTTATTACCATTATTTGACAGGTCATTTCCCCCTCTCCGGGCTGTCCTGCCCCTCCCCGCGGGGTTTGTGCCGGGGTTTTCCCCACCGGGGAAGGGGGGACACCTCCCCTTTCCCCGTGGGGATGTCCCGTGTGGCTGTCGCGTCACTCCCTCGTGATTCTGAGGTCAGAACAGTGCCCGGCCCCTCTGTGGTGTTCCCTTCCCGTCCCATGTGCGCCTCACTTCGGGGAGAGGTCAGGGAAATATACTGGAAAAACAGGGCATCGCCTGGGAATCAGGCCCTGATTTACCACGGTGGTGTTTTTTAATTCTAACAGACAAAACTCTCCACCAAATCCCTGCTTAAGTGTGAGGGTTTGGTTAAATATATGTGTTCACTGTTGTCAGCTTTTATCAAAAGTTCTGAGCGTGTTGGGGAGGCCAGTTGTGGCTTTAATGTGCATGTTATTATTTGTTGTCCATGAGATGAAAAGATGCCAAAATTAGTCACCATTAAAAGGGTTTCTTGAAAACAGGCAAGTTCATATTCCCTCTTCTGAGAAGAACTGGGGTTGGGCTTGTGCTTTGTTTTGTCTTGTGTTCTCATGGAAATGTTCATTCCTTTGAAAACACCGTGTGTTTGGGGTTTATCCCCACCCCTCCGCCCACTCCAAGAAGCTCTTCCACACACACTCCTGAAGTTTATAAATGGATGTTAGGAACTGGTGTTTCCCTGGGCAGGTCTGGCTGTCTTTCAGGCGGTGCTCGGTGTGTCTGTCAGCCTGGAGATAAGGCAGTTGTCCTGTTAACCTATTCCAGTGCTCTCAAAACAAGCTTCTTGCTTGTTTTTACCGCTAAAAGCCACGTTTTCAGGGAAGCACATCCTGATTTCTGTGTGGACGTGTCCCTTTCTGTGCCGTGTAGCAGCGGGGCTGGAGCAGGAGGGGCTCTGCCCGTGGTACAGGGAGCTGCAAACACAGCACTTCGAGCCTCCTCTCAGACTCCAGGACATGGTGCTCCCTCGGCGTTTCTCCCTTCTTAGCTAAGTCACTTCTAAATCATACTTATTGCAACAGTTCTAATAAGTGAGTTCCTGCTGTGTTTCTTGCCTAGTTTGGTAGTGAGCTTAAAAGGAGAAGTAAAATTTATCTTTTTCTAACTTTCCTCATCTTTTGCAGTTTCTTCACCTTCTGGCTCACGCTGGTCCTGTTTAACTTCCTAATTTCTCTTTCTACTGGTTTCTGCTCAGGTCTTTGACTCCACTGTAATGCCATCCCTCCCTCTCTGCTGCCCTTCAGAACTTAGGGGAGGGGAGGGATTAAATTTCCTCGGAGGTGGAGGAAGGAGAAAAACCTGCCCATTCACCAGCAGGATTGTGGGTCAGACTAATTGAGGGCTTGCAGGAGAACACAATCCTGAGGAGTAATTAAGGAGCTGGGAAAGGGAGAAGGGCTGGGATGGTTTTCTGGTGGAAAATGAAACCTCTTTTTTTCCATTTCTGGAAACTGTCCCCATTTGGGCTGTTACTAAAGGCAGCCAGTTGTCTGTGGCTCGCTGGAAAGTGAGTTCCCCTCAGACACACTAAGGCACTGCTCAGCTATTCTGGGTTCAAGTTGTCAGTCAGCAGCTGAGCTGGTGCATTTTTTTTATATCCCGTTGTTTGGATATTTTCCTCTCTGACTTCAGGCTGTTTTATAATCCATAAGCTTCGTGATTTTTATGCAAAACCACTTTAAATCTATAATTTAAGTGAAAATAAATATGTTGAGTTTATATGTAAAAGCCTGTATTTTTAATGGAAATATTTCCACATGGTTGAAATGTTTTAAGTAAAACTAAAAGAAAGCTGATTAACTCGAGGTTTTTGTTGGGGTTTTTGTTTGTTTGTTTTAATACAACTTGAAGAATCCTTAAGCTTTCTTAGTTCTCTGGTAGATTTAATCTTTCTTAGTAGATTTAATCATTTCACTGGGGAGATCCTGTGTGTCCCTGCTGTTCCTGCAGGATCTCCTGTGGATGGTGTGATCCCAGCTGGACAGTTATGCTGATGTTAATGGAAGCTGCTGTGGGAAAGCCAGCAGAGGAATACACAGTGGGGCAGGGAGCTTACCTGGAAGCTTAAAGCCACCTTGGGAAATCCTGGAATGGTGTTTTTGCTGTCTCAGAGCAAAGCTGGGTGTCTGGCACGCTTGGGGTGACAGAGGGAAATGTTCTCTGCTCTCCAGCACACTGGGTGATTGTTTGGGTGCCAAGTGAGCTGCTTTCCAAAGGCTCATTGACTCATTCCTGCAGCACTTCTGAAGTCTAAGGAAAGCTTAAGTCTAACAAACTTAACAGGCTTCTGGTTCCTGTGCCTGCCCTAAGCAAGTGCAGGGTTTTGTTCATTCATGAACTTATAATTATATGTGTGTGTTTTTCATAATCTGCATTTAGGGTATCCAAGCTGTATAATCAGACAACTCATGACTAGAAGTTATAGTAAGTAACTTTCTGGTATAAATTTCTTTAGTCTGTGTTGTTTCTTGCCATGGGAATCTTTCAACTTTTATCAGAAGTTCTGAATGTGCTTGGGAGAACAGCAGTGATGGCTTTAATGTCCGTGTCATTTGCTGTCTGTGGCATAAAACACTGCCAGGGAGAAGACTGATCATCATTAGAAGGGTTTCTTGAAAGCAGGCAAGTTAATATTCCCTCCTCTGGGAAGAACTTGGGTTTTACCTGTGCTTTGTTTTGTGTTCTCATGGCAATGTTCATTCTTTCGAAAACAGTGCTCTGGGGTTTATTCCCACCCCTCCAAGAAGCTCTTCCCCACTTCATGAATAGTGGACTTACAACTCTCAGTGAGTTTATATAAGTAGCAGCAGTACTGACTAGTTTGAGCACTACTCAGCCAGTATCCTACTGGATTTTAAGTGCCCTGGAACTCACCTTTGCTTTAACAAAAGCCGAGCCCAGCTGTGAGCCGGCGGTCTGGGAGCCCTGTGCTGCTGCTGCAGCCTTTTATTCCGCTCCAGTTTTTCACCATGACATTGTTTCATCCAGCCTGGGATGTTTCCTCAGCCATGCAGGCCTCGTGATACACACTAAGCTGCTCCATCTCTGCCAAGGATTCTGCAGTTGTGGAGCTCAGGATGTTCTTTATGGTTCCTGCTTCCCCGGGGCTGTGCCCAGTCACACAAAGCTGAGCTTAGCACAGGAACAGAGAGGAACAGTGGGTTAATTCCTTAATCTCTGTTTACTTTGGGTATAACAATTCCAGAGTCTGTTTCTCCTGGAAAGCCGAAGCTCAAGTTGATCTCAGTGATCTCAGAGATCTCATCAGGGAGAGAAAGTTGATGCTGTTTCAGGGTTCTAAGCAGCTCACTCCAGTTTAGATCCCGGGTGAATGGACCTAAATGGATCTTTATGTGCCTGCCTGCTACTGATTTTACCTTTCTGTTAATGAACATCAGGGCCACAAACAGTGGAATGGGTGAAAAGCTCATATCATGCCAGTGTATATTCAAGCTTTAGCAGGAGACTGATGTTTCATGGATTCTCTCTCAGCTCTGGTTCTGTTAGCGAGGGGTTTTTCTTCTCTGATGTCAAAATTAGTCTGTCACTGTACATAAATATAATGCTGGGGTTTTTTTTCAGCACTGAGTACACAAAATAGATGCAAACCCGCTGCTAGACTCCTGCTGTATAATTCAGGCTTTTCCTGGAAAGAGAACACTCCCATTCCCCACCCTGCACCAAAACCAAACAAACAAGGAAGTTGGGCGTAGGCTGAAGGCAGAAGTCCTAACTTTATGCCCACCTTGGGCTCTCAGTGCTGCCTCAGGTAAGGCAGCTCAGCTGCTGGTGTGCTGGAAAGTGAACTGGTTACCATCCCTTTACCTTTTTTAATCTGTCACATCAGTCTGTTGTCCTGGAATGTTGAACTGGGCCTGGCTGATCCTGGCTGAGGCGGCTGCCAGGAGCGGCCGTGCCTTGTCCTGCCTGTTCCTCTGTGCTGGAGTTGGTGTTTGTGTGGGCAGGGCATGAGTTGGATTAGTTTGCTGAGCCAGACAAAACCCAGCTCTTAAAAGATGAAAAAAAATAAGCAAAGTTGTTTTCCACACTTAACCACAGAAATGCTGGAGCTGGCGAGAGAGGGAGGCAGGAATGTGACGAAGGAGGAGGGCAGTTCTGCCTCTCCTGGCAACAGTCCCTGCTTCCAAGCACTGAATGTGATAAAATCTGAGGATGACGTGGGCTCTCCCAGCAAGGGGCCAACGGCTCATTAATTTAGTCATGGAATCATGCCAGCAGGATGGCCTGGACAGTCTTGTTTAGAACACTGAGTGGTTCAGTGTTGCAGTGGTCTGGCATTGAAGGAAGGGAAAGCTGCAGCCTCAGGTCTGGGCACGGGCAAAGACTCAAACGACCTGTGACTGTGTGTGCAAGGCCTCAAACCTTAATGCATTGCCTTTGAATGTGGTTTAAAGATCCTGCTTGACATCTGGCAGGAGAAGTGACTCTGCTCCCAGAATCAAATAACGAGAACCTGGTTTTGTTTCCATGAATTGTGAGATGCCAATGTAGGGGAGGCAGAAGTCCTGCAGTATTTCCAGCCCATCTTCAGTCCTTCAGCCTGCCTTTTCTCTGTTTTAAGTCATAGTCTAATGCAAAATGCATGTCTGAGTTCCAGGTGCTTATCC